TTTTTTCAATGAATTTTAATGAATATACTAATTAATAAAATGAATATTATTTATTTTGTATTACATATTGTTCATTCATTTATTTTTAACACCGCACCCCCAGCACCCCCATTTTTTCGTGGGCTACACTCCAGGGGGTGCTGCAGCACCCCCAGCACCCCTACTTCCCGCGGTAATGAGCAGTCCTCATCCTGGAGATTCTGCAGAGTTTAAGCTGCGTTCACGCCATGTCATAACTACCGTAATTCCAAGATGACAACATGTTCTACTAGGAGTTGTTTTTATTTTACAAGGTCCTGTGTTTCTATGTCCACACTGTGATGCCACCCCTTGTCTTGACGGAATCGTCCACAGGATCAAGGATGCAGGGTTAAACGGAGACTTCATCATGAAGGATAGGGCATTTTTGAAGCTTGCAGGTGTCCTGAATTTACCCAACCTCTCGCCAAGTACCCGCTCATATCCTGTCAGTCATACCTGAACATCATACTGTTAGCTGTCACGCTGCCGCCTGTCAAAACCCACAGATGGTTTTGCCACGCATCTCATATTAAGGGTTCATAGCACCACAGGGAGGATGTGTGTTATATTTGAAAGCTTAGATCGAAGTTTGATGACTGATGCTTTTTTTTTTCCTCGAAACCACGCTGTCATTTGTCAAATCAAACATGTTAACGAACTGTGTGTTCAGATCCGACGGCGCTTTGAATGTGTAATTTGTCATAGGGTGAAATATCACGCTGTATTGTGGGTAATGCAGCATGGGTATTTCTAATAGGGAGGGGTGGGTAATTATATTCTTTAAGGAAGCCGAGTCCCCTGAGGGTGAGAAATTTTTAAAAACGCTGATACCGGGCTTATGCTAAGCTGGTAACCGCTTTTCCATCTTCCTGTCTGACATTTCAAATTATGTGCCCTGACTCTGGTTTCCTTAACGTACACAATTATTTAAGCATTTTTTTTTTTTGTTGCGGTAACCCACTTTGAGAGTTTACCCATGCATCAAACTGGTCTCTATTGATCTACAGCACTATTTCAGAGCTCAGTCGTAGCACTGCCCGTTTTACTGCTATCTGGAGAGGATGTGTTTTAATGCACTCCTTGGTCCACCTTAATTTACGAAAAACACATGCGGTGCATTCCACAGGCGGCCACAAAAGCAACTGTACATCAAAAGACTGTACAGAGTGTTTAGCTGATGTTCATTCATCACAATAACTGGAATGACTCTTTAGAAAAGCTCTTACCTATGCCTGAAATCTTTATTTCTGTATTTAGTGAGAGCAGCATGAAAAGAAGAAAGTGGGAAAATAGGTTAGCTCATGCATTCATGTACAGATAAAAGGTTAGAGTGAAAAAAATTATACTACTTCAGATGGAGCTACAAGCATATCTACTGTATTCATGAATAGAAATATGAACAAAAAGGATTCCCTCATAGCACACATACTATATGCTGCTTAGGCAAGTGATTCTCAACTGGTGGGTCACAAGCCAAAATGGGTCACAGGTCTGTCCTAATATGGAAAAACAATGCTAAACATATACTGTCTGACATTTCAAATTATGTGCCCTGACTCTGGTTTCCTTAACGTACACAATTATTTAAGCATTTTTTTTTTTTGTTGCGGTAACCCACTTTGAGAGTTTACCCATGCATCAAACTGGTCTCTATTGATCTACAGCACTATTTCAAGTTTCTATGTCCACACTGTGATGCCACCCCTTGTCTTGACGGAATCGTCCACAGGATCAAGGATGCAGGGTTAAACGGAGACTTCATCATGAAGGATAGGGCATTTTTGAAGCTTGCAGGTGTCCTGAATTTACCCAACCTCTCGCCAAGTACCCGCTCATATCCTGTCAGTCATACCTGAACATCATACTGTTAGCTGTCACGCTGCCGCCTGTCAAAACCCACAGATGGTTTTGCCACGCATCTCATATTAAGGGTTCATAGCACCACAGGGAGGATGTGTGTTATATTTGAAAGCTTAGATCGAAGTTTGATGACTGATGCTTTTTTTTTTCCTCGAAACCACGCTGTCATTTGTCAAATCAAACATGTTAACGAACTGTGTGTTCAGATCCGACGGCGCTTTGAATGTGTAATTTGTCATAGGGTGAAATATCACGCTGTATTGTGGGTAATGCAGCATGGGTATTTCTAATAGGGAGGGGTGGGTAATTATATTCTTTAAGGAAGCCGAGTCCCCTGAGGGTGAGAAATTTTTAAAAACGCTGATACCGGGCTTATGCTAAGCTGGTAACCGCTTTTCCATCTTCCTGTCTGACATTTCAAATTATGTGCCCTGACTCTGGTTTCCTTAACGTACACAATTATTTAAGCATTTTTTTTTGTTGTTGCGGTAACCCACTTTGAGAGTTTACCCATGCATCAAACTGGTCTCTATTGATCTACAGCACTATTTCAGAGCTCAGTCGTAGCACTGCCCGTTTTACTGCTATCTGGAGAGGATGTGTTTTAATGCACTCCTTGGTCCACCTTAATTTACGAAAAACACATGCGGTGCATTCCACAGGCGGCCACAAAAGCAACTGTACATCAAAAGACTGTACAGAGTGTTTAGCTGATGTTCATTCATCACAATAACTGGAATGACTCTTTAGAAAAGCTCTTACCTATGCCTGAAATCTTTATTTCTGTATTTAGTGAGAGCAGCATGAAAAGAAGAAAGTGGGAAAATAGGTTAGCTCATGCATTCATGTACAGATAAAAGGTTAGAGTGAAAAAAATTATACTACTTCAGATGGAGCTACAAGCATATCTACTGTATTCATGAATAGAAATATGAACAAAAAGGATTCCCTCATAGCACACATACTATATGCTGCTTAGGCAAGTGATTCTCAACTGGTGGGTCACAAGCCAAAATGGGTCACAGGTCTGTCCTAATATGGAAAAACAATGCTAAACATATAAATAAAATGTAATATTTGAACATATTAAAATTATTATTATTATTATTGTGTTTTGAGTCACTAAAATCTGGGTCCTAAAGCAAAACCAGTTGAGAACCTAGACATCTATTTAATTTGTGATTTTCATCTGGAAATGTCATTTGTAAAAAGTTTGTTCATCCGCAGTACATCTCCAAAATGCATCCAGGTGGATGTTGTGGCTTTATGAGTATATGTGGATTTCCTCTTTAAAAAAGATTTATCAAATGACCGTGGCCAATAATTAAGTAATGCTTTCTAGATGATTTGCTCTTAAAAAGACATCTTGGATATGCATGCATGATTATTAGATTCAAAGGAAAGGTGAATGAAATTTTTAGCAAGGTTCGTATTCATCCTATACATTTCTGAGCAATAGCAATTACATTTAAAGAAATAGTTTACCCCCAAAAACTGAAAATTCTGTCATCATGTATTCTCTTCTGTGGAACAAATCCTAGTCGTTGCGATCATTAAAGTCAGACAGGTTTGGAATGATGGTGAGTAACCAACAACAACAACATTTTTATTTTTGGGGTAAACCATTTCTAATATAGTGAAAGGCCAATAAATCCGTGTATCATTCGTTCATTCGTTTTTTGATTTAATACTGAAAGTAGAAAAATGAGAAAATGGCTCTTTTTTCGTTTTTTTCATTTTTTTTTTCTCCAAAAAACGAAAAACAAGAAATCTGCTTAATTTTTAATTTATTTTATTTTGAATAAACAGCTTGAATATTCGATTACTGATTGGTCAGATGAAGATCAAACCGTGCCGTAACTGCAGTCATCAGTTTTTCCGCAGTTCTGCGCATCAGAATAATAGCCCGCCACTGCTGAAGGTGTACGTAATTCTTAACGCCTTTATTGCAACTACATTTCATCTTTTTTTCATCAAACAACCAGACTAACGAATAGCTCGACACAATCCGTACCAGGGCAGAGCTTAGACAGGGTTTTCTTCTGTGTAGACCAGCGGTTCTCAAAGTGCCAGGGGGTCCACGTAATCATTTGCATTACCGTATCCTGCATAAGTGTCCTGCTGGCACTTGCCCAGTTAAAGGCAGAGAATGGTGACTTTCACTTTTTTTTGTGTGCAATGTTTTGTGTGTCGCAAAATAATCAAATGCAACTTGTGGCGTATATTCCAAGCGTTCTGAATGTATACTGTAGGGTTTGGTGAGAAACACACCGAAATGGCAAGTTACTGAAAATCTTGCTCAGCAACTCGCGCCATGCACAAGCGCATATTCTTATGAGATATCAATTTGAATCAATTTTAATAAAACAAAAGACTACATTATAAAACTCAGAAGAGTATGTATCTCCGGTTGTTCTTGCGTGAACGTTATATACCCAAGTCAATGCATTATTCTTTCCTTTTTATATTAGTGTTTAAAGTATTTAATTTGACAGCCATCATATCATATCATACCCTGCCATGCCCAGCTGATGATGCAAAGCATATAATTTATATCTACATAGAAGAAAGCCCTGTCTAGGCTCTGCCCCTGTACAGATTGTGTCGAGCTATTCGCAAGTCTGGTTGTTTGGTGAGAAAAAGATTAAATGTAGTTGCAATAAATGCGTTAAGAATCCATAGACCTGCAGCAGCGGAGGACTATTATTCTGCTGTGCGGAACTGAGGAAGAACTGATGCTGGCAACGGTTTGATCTTCGCTGACCAATCAGCAGAAAGGGACGTTTAATTCCCGCCCACATGTAGAAATCGAATATTCAAGCTGTGTATCAATTTTTCCACCCCTGAACGAAAAACGAATAATTAAGCTGAATTCTTGTTTTTAGCTTTTTTGGAAAAAAAGTAGATGTTTTCTCATTTTTCTACTTTCAATATTAAACAAAAAACGACTGAACGAATGACACACAGATTCCAATAGCATCATTCCTGTGCTTTCCAAGTACTGATAGTCAGATACCTTTTGGTTTGTGAGCAACTCATATAACAGGATCTACAAGCAACTTGTCATTTTGGTGGGTAGGCGAATGTTTGTGTATCTATGCACATGCAGAATGCCAAACCTGAGCTCTAAGACACTTGTGACATTTCCTGTGGTGAAGATCCGACGGATGTAGTTGAAATCCCCCACGTACAGACTGCCATCCGACCCACAGGCTAAAGCTACAGGTGCGAGCAGCTTATTTCCATCCGCCAGCCCGTTGCAGCTTGGACAGGAGATACTGCGCCTCCGCCCGTTACCCATGATGCTTCCGATGACTGGGGGTTGCTGAGAAATAAAGATGTTCTCGCCGTTACCCTTGTGCAGGATACCTGAGTGACAAAGAGAGAGACGTCATAAGTATTTTGCCCATTCATTGTAATTTTCCCAAAACCATTCAATTAAATTTTATTTGTATAGCGCTTTTCACAATGCAAATCGTTGCAAAGCAGCTTTACAGAAAATTAAAGTTTCTACATTATATTTAGTAATATCTGTTGTAGGAAAATTAATGTTTTTCTCTTTATGTATGTCACCTGAAATGCAACAAAGACATCACACAGTAAAACAGAGAGCCTTTGAAGTCTTTAGGGCGGGTAATTTAATCAGAAAAGACAGAAGGTTTAGTACTTCTGGCCTCACGGGTGTGAAGGCACACAAACAAACAGTAAAAACAAATGGTCAGAAAGAGCCTTTGAACTCTTCAGTGCAGAAAAGAAGATAATAAAATCCCAGGGGGTTAGAAAGACCATTGTTTTTTCTGAATACATCTAGGTTTGGTTTAAGGAAAACCTGCAAGAAGTGGGGGATGATAACAGTATAATAAGGCTGTCTGCTTTCAGTGTGATTTCAGGTCTGTTGTGCTTCAGGGTAGCTGCTGAAACATGAACATACCTCTTTAAGGAAAATAAACTTCTTTCCTTAAATATAATTTGATTCCTTGTCTCTTACTCTGTGATGCTATTTTGTTAGTAATTGTTTTTGCCACAACATATCTTATCAGTGGTAACTATCTCAAGTTGATGTCCATATGGCAGAAATGTACAGAATAGCCTTCCCTCTGCAGTAAATCAATAGGTTTTATCGGATATGAGAAGCGGAGACTTTAAAGCTGATTCAGTTCTGCTCAAATTTAATGACATTAAATGTAATTGTATGGAGCTTTTCTCTGTCACAGAGCTATGGGACGGATGGCGCTTGAGAAAGGATTTAGCTAAATAACCAGCAGGATCGAGATGTGCTAAACGGAACTGAATTCATTTATCGAAAGGAGTTATTTTTCACTCGCACAGCCAGATGCTTCTGTATAGAAACCAGCTAAGTGAAGGTCCACAGTCACAGAATGAAAGACAACTTCCTCTTATTATCAGTCAATCTGAATCTCCACGGCATGCCTCAATGAATCTCCAGTGTTTAACAGCTCACCGCAAATGCCATTCAAAAGTGGCAGAGTGGCAAAGATTGCGAAACTCAATTTTCAGTGATTTTCATTGTGCACTGTTTTCTCTCTAAGCACCTGTTGAATCGTGCCGTGTTTTGAGAGATGCTAAATTACAGCATTTTCAGACCGTCCATGCTGATTGGCTGGAACTGCAGGTGGGTTTTACTAGAGCTGATGCAAAGGCGTATTCTCATCAAGCTCGAAAATTCACCGCAAATTTCACTGTGTAAAAGGCTTTCAACTGAAACAGTACATTTCCTTGAAGCTTTAAAGCAAATCTGGCAATTTAGGAATACATTTACCTGCTGGTAAAGGTTTTTGAAAAATAAAAATTACTGATCAGTAACGTATAACCTTTTGCACCCAAAAGTATTCCAGATAAATGTGTAGGAGATGTTTAAAAAGTTTTTTGTAAGTTGAATGGGTTGTGCATTAAAGCATGTGAAAAACCGTAGAGCGATTCACTTTCTTTGTAAAATACATTTTCACAAACCCTAAACTTCTAGCATACCCTCATGAAATGTTGTGGCATGTTCATTGTGAATAGTATTAGGGCAAAAAAAAAAAGTTTAACTAATTTTGCCTGAGTGCAGTAAAGTTTCTTTCAGCTTTACAAACAAAAACTTGTAATTTCTCATGAGAGTGACTAATTTTCTTTCTGTTTTACAGATTTTTTGCAAAGCCTGTTTTTTTCAAAAAAAATGTTTTGTCTGTTTTTTTGGCAGCAATTCATTTCACATGAGTGTGATTAAGTTTCATTCAGGTGTGAACACTTTTCATAGAGCCTAATTAAATTTTGCATTCACTTATTTTGCATTGCACTCTGTGCGAATAATTTGAGGGCAAAAACTACAGAGTGAGCGTGGATCCAAGGAGAATCAATTAATAAACAGAAGACATTAAAACAAGCTTCAATGTAAACCAAATGGTAGTAAATTCACTTGGAAAAAGAGAGAGTGAGAGAGAGTTGACACTTGAAGAATTTGAGCAAATTTTACCGGAAGTCCTCATGTTGACAGCGCTGGGTTTTAGTGACAGACCAAGCTGCCACCTGCACTCCTAATACTTGTGCTGCACGTACGCCTCATTTACTGAGATAAGAGCACCTGTGCGCTGGCAAAAATAATACTTGACAGGAACTGAACAGAGCAGTTTACGCAATCCCTGATTTCAGAGACAATTCAGCAGCAGTAGGAAAATTGACCTGTTCAACTCAAATAAGGTCCTGTCATACAGAAATCACCACTCAACAGCAACAAGTGTTCATCTTTAGCAAGCAGTGAACATTTATGAGAATTTCCACAATGGGGAAAACTCAGCAGATCTGATCATTAATAAGCAACTGTGTGTTTGTGAGCATTTGAATAGCTTTCATGCTTCTGCATGTACTAACTCACCACTTTGGATATTCAGAGCATGATGTTTGTCCACGCTCCAGCCGCCCAAGTTGGACGCAATGGTCTCGTATCCCTGCAGGACGGCTGTCCGCTTCTCCCAGAGGATCAGATCCGGGCAGGATTCGTACTCGAAACCCACAGACACTAGTGGGAGTGAAGAATAAACACATTTGAACTTGAGGACGTCAACAGCCCTGAGCAATGTGACACTGACAAACTTCATTCCCCACTCACCGAACGCCTCAGACAGCCCATAAACTTTTTGGCTGTAGACATCTGCCTTGTCCCAGACAAAGTCATAGGAGAGGTTAGGCGCAGCTGAGAACCACTTCCTGAAGAGCCTTCCCTCGACGGCCACCATGAGGTGCACCTTCATCAGGCTGAACGGGATGGTGGAGTGGGTCAGGGAGATGCGCAGGAGGGACTTATACCCCGACGTCCTGCTGCTCAGGTAGCTCAAACGTACATCTGTACCTGGGATCCACACTTCCTCCTGGAGGGTCTGGAGAGAGAGAGAGAGACAGGTGAAAACGTTCATATTAGTTACAAGAAAACAGAGTAAACTGTAACAAATCGGCTAATTTTGTGGGAGATGCACCCTGCTGAGAAGTGTTTGCATTATTTAGCATCTCCGGTATATACGCAAATGAGAATGAATTAATTTTTTCACAGCAGACGTTTTATTATACAGTGCAAAAATACTAATTATTGGGTGAATCTAGGCCATATTTCACCTCAAAGAGAAAGAAAAAAGCTATTATATAAAAAAAAACACTTGAAAAGATTTGTTTTTTAAAGAAGTCTCTAGGCTCACCGAGGCTCCGTTTATTTGATCAAAAAGACTGTAAAACAGTAATATTGTGAAATATTATTACAATTTAAAAGAACCGTTTTCTACAGTATGTTAATACATTTTATTAAATGTATAAATTTAAGTTATTCCTGTGATGGCAAAGCTGAATTTTCAGCAGTCATTACTTACACTCTTCAGTGTCACATGGAATCTTATATTGGCCATACTGGCTTATATAAGCTTTTATGATTAATATTTTTGTGGAAAGCAAGATACATCATTTTTCCAGCATTCTTTGACCAGTACCAGCGACACATGCGAGTCCAAAAAGAAAAAAAAGAAAAGAAAACAGAAAGTGAAACTAAATAAAGAATATTTTGTCATATATCAGATAAATGATCACACATCAGGCCAGTAGCCTCTTATGGTTACCTATTTAAAAAAAAAAGTGTTTAAATGAGTCTTTTCCCACTTGCAAACTTCTAGCCCTGATGAAGGCCTGAACAGCATTATTCTTATTAAACAGTGATAGTTTTTGCAGTGGGTGGGGTTGGTTTGAAGTCCTGTGTGTGTGGGGCTGAGAATTGGCTACTGATTGTTCTGGTTTTGTCTGTGAAGAATGTGGCAAAATAATCAGCTGTTATAGAAGTGGTAGGAGGTGGTGGAGGGGGACAGAGGAGAGAATGGAAAGTTTTGAAGAGATTACGTGTGTCTGGAGCGCTGTTGATCTTGTTGTGGAAGTATGAAGATTTGGCAGTATGGACTTCAGCAGAGAAAGATGAAAGCAAAGACTGATACATACTTAGGTCTGACGGATCTTTTGATTTGCACCATTTTCTCTCAGCTGCCCTAAGTTTGGTCCGATGTTCACCGGGAATGAGAACAGCAGCCCATCCATCTCTTCTAGGAAGGCGGATAGAATTTGCCCAGGAGGGCGGTAAATTACCACAACCTGGAGTTTTACGGGAGCTGTTATAGTGATCACATGAGATTCAAATGAGTTGTAATTGCATAGGGGAGAGTGGGTTGAGTATTTCCAATTGTTAGAAATGAGCAGACCAGTGCCCCCACCCCGGCCAACCTGAGGGGGGGTATGAGAGAAAGAGAAATTGTTCGAAAGAGCAGCTGGGGTTGCTGAGTCTTCTGGACGAATCCAGGTCTCAGTCAAGCCCAAGATGCTAAGTGTGGAGTTTAAAGAAAAAGAAGAAATGAAGTCTGCTTTGTTGACAGCTGACTGACAATTCCAGAGACCCATAGAGAAAGAAAGAGGTGCAGTAGAGGATGTAGAGATAGGATGCAGGTTAGCAACATTGCGTTGCCGTCTGCGTGTGACCGTAGAGCGTCGTCGAGAGACAACCGGAATGGTTTGGAAACACATGATAGAGGTGGGAAAGAGAGGACAGAAAAGGAGAGTGTGTACAGGGAAGAGCAAAAATATACTTAAGTGCCTAATTAATAGTGTTTTCACTATATTTTGGATATAGATATCCATTGCAGAATTTATGTCATACGGCTCGTTCACTGAATCGCTGGCCGTCTCAGTGATCAGCCGTAAAACAGTGATTCTGTCCTAATTCCTTTACATATTATTGGTGGAGTTCCCTTTAAAATCTTAAATGATTCCCTTTGAGCTAAATTGACCTGTTTCCCTTACATAATTAATACTGAATTATTAAACAGTATTATTCTTTTGCGTTCCACTTTCTGATTTAACCTCTCCACTCCACAAATGTTGCTGGTACTATTCAAAAATATTTTTGTAATTTTGTGCAATTACACTAGAACAACCATAGTTCCAGACAAATCTTCTTAATATCATTTATTTTTATTCCCTCCTAATTTGGGGTTGAAATGTGACCCAGAAACCTTCAAATTACTCAACTATAATAACAAGTGAGCAACTCACTCAGTGTAAAGCAATGCATACGTCTAAGTCACACGGGCATCATTAACAACGCCTTAGTGGCTCAGAGGTTTCTCATTGTTCACTGAAGAGCTCTCATTAACTCTCAGTGTATCGCTCCTTTATCACAGTCAAGCACAAAGCTGACCAATAAACACAGCTGATCATTACTGCGTCAATACACACTGATAAGAAAAGCACTTCCATAGACGTTTCCGTTTGTAAACCTGTGAAAACTCTGTGTGTGGGTGTGTGTAGGTGCACATGTAAGTGTGTGTGAATAAACCGCCTCAACATTTGGGATGGGACAGATTTGTGCCGATATTAATAGCCCAGACAGCACAATGCTTGTGAGCCTGACTCATTTATCTTGTAAACCAAAGACGACGACAAAATAATTAGGAAGGTTGCACACAGGTACAAGTAGAGCAATCAGAACTCAAACGCACACACACACATATATATGTGCATATTAAAATATATCTATAGACACACTTGGATGCAATGAAATTAACATACACAAACTTAAACACATAAAATCTTGATGACAGTCCCTCAAATCCAAAACAGGGATTTTTTTTTTGCACCAAATGCAAAGCTCATCCAGGAGTCAGACTCAAAAAGCTTTCATGCTGCTTTCATCTAAATGTAATTATCGTTCTTCAGAAAATGTCTGGCGTAGTAAATTGGACTGTGTATCTCTGCCCAATTACACACAGGAGATAAAATCACAGGACTGCCACCCGAGACAGAGCCTCCTCCATTCCCTTCTGATGTACATTTCCCAATATCTGCCCCTGCTGTCTATCAGAACATCATTATGAACTAGTCTGGAATCGGCACTAGTCTGGAATCAATCGTGGCAAATTACCACGTTTTTCATGTCTGAGATAGCCGTACAATTTTGAACAGTCTGTAACTGTCAGACTAAACAAGAATCAGACTTTTAAAAAAAACATTAGTCTTAAAAGTTAAAATGAACACAAAAATACAGCAAAAAAATCATAAAAACAAGCTTTTTAAACACACAAAATGGCATGCAAAATGTAATTAAATTCCCGATACAACTGAAATAGCAATCTATTGTGACGTACATCCAAGTGAAAGAGTTTATAGGAAAGGAAAAAAAAATAGGGCGGGGACTTTATCTATTGGTTGTTGACTGGACAGTGGTAGATCAGAATGTGAGCATTCAGTTGCTTGTGAGAAAGGGGCGGAGTTTAAAAGGACAAAACTTATAGAAAAATCTGGAAGTCTGTCATTTAACTGGAATGGTGAAGTACAAAAAAATGAAATATATGTAGGCATAAATCGCCTACAGTAAGATCAATAACATGGATAAAGAATTTCACATTTTTATTTCAAGCCAACTTTAACTTCATAACGTGTTGTATTTTTAATTGAAACAGAATATTTAGTGGGGTAAATTATATAGGGAGGGATTCAGTCTACTCCGATTCGATTGGTTAAACTTTAATAAATGAAATTGGACACTATTGGCCAATATCATTTTGCCCCACCCACATGTTTTTGGTTATATTAACAGATCAAGGGGGAAGTCGTGGCCTAATGGTTAGAGAGTCGGACTCATAACCCAAAGGCTGTGGGTTCGAGTCTCGTACCGGCAGGGATTGTCGGTGGGGGGAGTGAATGTACAGCGCTCTCTTCCACCTTCAATACCACGACTGAGGTGCCCTTGAGCAAGGCACCGAACCCCCAACTGCTCCCCGGGCGCCGCAGCATAAATGGCTGCCCACTGCTCCGGGTGTGTGTTCACGGTTTGTGTGTGTTCACTGCTGTGTGTGTGCACTTTGGATGGGTAAATGCAGAGCACTAATTCCAAGTATGGGTCACCATACTTGGCCACATGTCACTTCACTTTTTTTTTCACTCACTCAACTGTACCCATTTTGAATCGTAACATATTTTTCACTTCCTCTGTATAGCTTATCACCTGAATCTCTGGAACGACGTTGCCCCTCTCGACGCAGGTCCCAGCAAACGCCGTCAACGGGGCAGGCAGGACGATGGGCATGGGACGGGTGAAGCTGCTCAGGTCACAGCTGGGGATGTCATTGACCTCGTGTCTCATCACAATGGTGTCCATGACAAAGAAGCGTCCCCACGGCAACCACAAGGTATGCTCCTGAGTGATGAACGGAGCGCGCTCAAACCGCAGGGCTACGGCCACGCCCCCGTTACTCACCAAGTCGAAGCTGAAACAGAGAGAGCATGTTTGGTTAGCTATTGAGATAAAGCCATTCATTAATTTTCAATAATGTTAGAATATAGAGTAGTTGTCTTTCAGAAATTTTAGCTTTGCAGTTGTGTTTATTAAAATCTGGGTTGGTAACCATAAGGTTGTTGGTTCAAGCCCCACAAGGAACTATCCATTAACGATCACCATTGTCCCTAATAGTAAAACCTCTACCCTAAAATTACTCTTTCCCTTATATTATGTTGCAAACTGACCCATTTTGAGTCATAAATAAAGGCTAACTTATGATGTTTTAACACGCTGATGTGTTGTTGAATGTGCATATTATGATTATGATATTTGGAGGTTAATTTGACCTGCATATTTCATCATTAATGGCAGCTACACAGACCCAAAATGAATTTTTTTTATGTATGTCAATTATCATATCATATATACATGCATCCAAAGAATCTTACACTGCATTCAAAATGTACATTTTTACATTCTCTAAGAATCAAACCCATGATACTGATGTTTGAGCTTCAGGAAAGCACACAAAACAAATGCTTTTTCACACATCTTTTATTTAAAATGTTTTATATATATATATATATATACACACATATACATATACACAGTATATATAGTTACAATACTGTTTATAATATTCACAGTTTATTAAAAACTTTTAAAAATAATTATTAAATACGGTTTAAAAAGAATATGTTTTTTTACATTATTAATGTTAAAGGTTTGCTTTTTGGTTTGATTTTTTTTTTGTCATAGTGTGATTTTTGGTGAACTGTATCATCTAATTAGTGTCAATTTTACCATAGCGTTTGTACCCCGGTTTTTAACCTAATACAAATACTAGTTTACACTCTCATCGTTTGAATGAAAGAGCTTTCATATTTGGGTGAACTATTATTTTAAGATAAGCATGAACCACTTATTTTAAGTTTTTATACTTATCACATCGCAATTCTCTACAACTACTTATCTGTTGAATTATTCCATTTATACATGTGTTAGAATTTAATAGTGTCGTAAAGTATGCCAACCATCACACCCTTGAAAACGGTGTTTTGATTTCCTATTCAGTAAAATTACAATGGCATTTCATTATCTCATAATACCATTTACTAACATTTTAATCAACATTATTCACCGTTACTCTGTACTGCCATCAAAACCAGACTTAATAAAGGTTGTAATTCATTATGTTTCTCTAAATGACAGGATTCAATTGAAAAGGACTCGGATTCAGTTAGTTGGGATGGTTTTTATCTGGCAGCTACACAATGTGACTGGAATACAATGAACCATTGGCTCAGTCTAATACGCTGTGCTTTTGAATTTGCATTAATAAAATCTGCATGAATGGGTGGTGTGCAATGTCGTTAGTCTCTATTGAGGAATAAACTGGCAAGATTCCTCTCCGCCGCAGTAGCCGTGCATACACCGCTGAGTGTCTTTGTTGAGCGGTGGCACGGTACGCTTTGATAAAGGAGGTGAGAGGGGAAATGACATTTAAGGGAAGGGTAAAGTATTATTGATCTGTGCGTGCGAAGCTGTCTGCGCTAACATAACTTTACAACAACGCTACAAAGGTGGCACACGCTCTGCATATAGAGTCGCACTAATCAGAGAGCTCTGTTGTTCACTCCGCTAATCAGAAACGGAATAGGAAGCTGTATGCAGGCTATCGTGTATGTGGCTTGCTAGATGACTGATTGTGTACAAATCCAGATCTGCTTTCTTGTGTATCATCACGAGGATACACACCTTTACAACACGCTCTGGTAGACATGAAAGCACAAATGCACTTTCGTGCCGAATACGCCTACAACACAAACAGTCGATTAGCAATATGTGATATGTTGACTCTTAGAATGCGCTGTACTGTGTGTCTTTGTTCTCAGGGTCGGCATAGATGTGGTGTGCATCTGTAGTCACACCTCACGCTGCTTGAACATTAATTCAACTACACATCCCAAAGGGCTATTCACAGAGCTTTCATTGGCACGGCTGATAAACAAAGGTCTGCTTTGCCCTTGTTGTCGTGCCCTTGCTAAAATGTGAGCATTTGTCTGTGCGCTGTGGGAGTTTGAACAGAGCGTGCTTTTAGGTAAGTGTCTGCAAGAGAAAGCATGTGTGCATTTAATGCAGCTGTATAGAGTCAACGTGAATCTGCAGTAAAAGCTAGCCGGCCAGTCACATGTGATGAAAGACACGCACACATATATCCATTACACGGGCATGCACATGGCCCTAAAGGCTGCCATGCCAATCGATGAGTGATTCACAGGCCTATTATCAATCACACAAGCACCTCAGGCACGGGTGACACACTTTATTAGTGCATTCAGCCTTTCACTGCACACTTTGAAGGAACACAGAGTTAACCCAAAGGGGTTAGCCAGATCGATGGCTTAAGACCCCAAACAGGTCGAAGCCACCCACTTTTAGTCCTCTGAACTGAACTGAGGCTATGTTCACACAGTGCCAGAATATGGTTGTGAGTCCCGAGTCTGACATATATGGTTAAATTCACACAAAAATGTTATAAACAGTGTTGGGGAAGCTACTCTGAAACTGTAGCTTGACCAGCTACAAGCTACTCGTAAATGAAAGTAGTTAAGCTACATTCAAGCTACCCTTCTGAAAAAGTAGCTAGCTACACTACAAGTTACTATCAAAAAGTAGCTAACTACATTGAAACTACTTTCAATTTTTGTATTATTTTTAACATTAACATTACAAATAACTAAATAATCATTAATGAATAATTATAGTGAAGTTATAAGTAAAATGTAATGAAGTTATAAGGAAAATATTTGGGGTTTAAAACAACATACTGTAATGCAATCATGATTTCAAAGAGTAGGGTGAATTGAGCTTGATTGGGACACTTGAGTAGAATTTAGGTTGATTGGGACACTTTTCCAAGCCATTTAAATGTCAAAAAGTGTCCCAATCATTTGATTTTGTAAACTATCCGATACACACAATAATAAAATACTGTATAGTTATATTATCTTAAACTGACGGTCAAAGTGCAAAATTGCTACTAATGTAAAATCAATGCAAGAAACAAATGTATGCAACTTAAACATGATACGGAGGAGTCATAAAAGAAGCAGGTTAAACTCACAGCACATGTGGTTTTTACTGACTGAATGGAGACGTCAATCATCAGCTGCGCGTGAACACTGCATTTTCTTTGAATCCCCCGCCGCAACCATTCTTTGCCAAATGATAAGCACACTACTATATCGTGATTTTACTTTCTGTTCGATTAGTGTTCCTTACAAAACTGTGGGGGGACAGATTATATTATGACTGTTCATCGTTGTAAAATAGACATTTGATCTAGAGTGCTATAAAGAAGAAAAAATAATCAGTTAATCAGTTATTATTCACCTCCTGTATGTGCTTCAAGTCTTCGACGTAGACCGCATTTTAATCTTTGTTTTTCGTAAATTATAGTTACAGAAATATCCACTCTTGTACATCCTTTTGCACAATCATCAGACGATCTCTTGTCGGTGGAAAGACTGTAAAGCTGCACGATGCGTGAGATCATACAGGTATACAGGTATCGATATCGGTATCGGCGAGTACCAAAAATGAAAGTATCGGACTCGTTCTGAAAAAAGTGGTGCATCCCTACTTTTCACAATCGGATAGCTATCCGATCAGAAAAAAAACGCATGAAGTGACCAGGTGTAAACAGACCCATGATACACAACATGCGTTCTTAACTGGATACTCGCCAAGACTGGCAATCTGACATAATTTTGTATGTATTTGAACGTTTTAGCGCAGTTAGCTACTCATTTTGGTATTTGTGGCTCACAAGCGGTTTGAGAATGAGTGCGGCTTGTGTGCGCTCCACTAATATTGATCAGTTCTGGTGCGCGCGCTTTTGGTGTAAGTGCAAAACCTGCGGGAATGACTAAAATAATGCGCAATACAAGCATTTAACCGGCGTGAATGAGACGTGTATGAGAGAGAAGGGGTCGTTGGAGAGAAGAGAGCGAGAATGCGCGGCTGACGTTATTGCCTGTGCCGCTGGTAACAAAACGGATGAACAAACGCTCTTCTAATAATGTTAAAAGAACATTAAACGTTATCTGGTATTTATTAATGTTCTCAACACGTTAGCACAAAAACATTATTTAAACATTGCTCATAGAACATTTTAGTTGGACATTCGTGTAATGTTTTTTTTAAACGTTACTACAAACTACTTGCTTCAGATGCTTCAGTGGAGAGAAGAGAGCGAGAATGCGCGGCTGACGTTATTGCCTGTGCCGCTGGTAACAAAACGGATGAACAAACGCTCTTCTAATAATGTTAAAAGAACATTAAACGTTATCTGGTATTTATTAATGTTCTCAACACGTTAGCACAAAAACATTATTTAAACATTGCTCATAGAACATTTTAGTTGGACATTCGTGTAATGTTTTTTTTAAACGTTACTACAAACTACTTGCTTCAGATGCTATTAATGCAGAGAACATTCAAAAGTAAAGTTTCCACGTTTGCAAATGATAAAATGGAACGTTCCTCATATATTCTAATGTCCACATATCCAAGAAAAAAAAAGTTTCTAAACATTTCAAATAGTGGTAATTTTAAACGTTCAGATAACATTTAGAAATAACATTTGCATAACTTAAAGGATTGGTTTACTGGTTTATTTCTAGGCTTGATTGTGTTTATGGGGTGCAGTCTAACATGTGTTAATGGTTAGTTAAAAAAAAACATTATTTTTCACATATATGTGTATGTATATATGTATGTGTGTGTGGTTGTACATACACATATGTAGTTGTTTTTTGGTATTTGACTTAGTGTTATGTTAGAATCATTATTATACTCTTATACCTTTTGTTCTTTACTATTTTTAATTGTTTTTAGCTTTATTTTTTGTCTTTCATTTAAATGTTAAGTTAATTTTGTTGTATGCATTTGTCATTTTTATTTAATCTCTTTATTTTTAAAATGTGTATAGGTAGTATTTATAAAGTTTTAGCTTTTAGTTTTGGATCTGTTTTTAGTTGTTTTAATACTACAATTGATTGCTTCAGTTGTCCTCATTTGTAAGTCGCTTTGGATAAAAGTGTCTGATAAATGACTAAAAATAAATAAAACATCATTTATCTTTATTCCACATCGCTCTGTCCCTTCTCCTATTAACACGCTGATCATTTCCTGCTTTAATGAAGCCCCTCCCTCAGAAATAGGCGATGGGCTCTGATTGGTTAGCTAGTCCAGTGTGTTGTGCCTCTAGTGTGTGTCTAAACGTCCCGCCCCTCACCACAGCGGCATGTGCTCCGGTTGTATTGTAAACAACGGCGTCGTTAATGTCGCTTATCAGTTTGAGCCCGATTGAGACGCAGAGGATATTATTGAAGAGGGTCGCGCAGGACCTGTGCAAGCAAGGCTCTTAATGGTAGGTCTATGGTTTTTGTTTGTTGTTCATGTTTAATGCTTCTCATAGCTATGTGAAAATAAGTGTATAATTGGAACAGTTTATTGTTGGAGCTGAGCTGAATGAGAGTGAGAGAGAGAGAGAGAGAGAGAGAGAGATGCAGAGCGTGTGCAGAGCAGGGGGATGCGAGGAACAGTATTAAGAATCGCTGCTTTAGAACACTGATTTTGAAACTTGTGAATCCATTAGAATCGTTAGAAGACAGAATCTCGGTTCATATATGAATAGATTTTTACATGCACCTCTAGTTTTCTCTTCCTTTTCTCTTAAGCAGCGCAGCATGGCCTCGCCCCCTTTGCTGCCTTTTCCCGAGGGCAGGGTTTATCTGGGTTTGTTACATCACGAACCCGGGAACTAAATCGTTGTAGTCCCTACCAGCCGTTTTTGTAGGCATTAAACTGCCAGAAATTTAAAAAACGATATCTCCGTTTGCATTGAACTTTCAGCTTCATAACTTTGCAGATATTGTTTATGCTCAAACAGCAACATTACACACTAACTAACATTAAGAAAGTGAAATCGCAATCAACCACCCCTTTAATGGTAACGTTACTTAAACATTCTTAGTTTGTTATCTGGATCCCCCAAACCTATTCTCATATTTATATTGAGATATTTTTGGTTGCAAGGGGGAAGGAACCTCACATGACTTCCACTACATTAATAATCACGTGATGTCTTCTAAATCTACTGTCTATAGCTCAGTGGTTCTTGATTACGTGACACAGCATTCCTCTCTCTCCTTCAGGGAATCAGGGTTGCATAAGTGACTCAATACATCAAGGCAGATGTATAATGGATGGCTTTTAGGATTTCCTGAGTCTGACTTTAGGCTAAATTTTGTATTACACAAATATCCACTGCATGTTACTTGGCCAGTCAGACTCTAGCGGTTGGCAGAGAAGCAGAGGGACCTCTTTGGAAGTAGAGAAACAAGTAATTTAAAAAGCAAAGGCACCAGTATAGAACAGACCACAATCAAACAAAATCAGTTAAGACAGCTTTCCCATTTTAAGCAAGCAAACAGGTGCATTGGTGATTTCATGCCGTACTGAATCTGTTCTTGCAGTGCTTGATGGGCTGTTGTGGGAGGGAGACCATGTGTTTACGAGCAAATAGAGGGAAAAAAAAGAGAGAGCCAGGGAGACTGAAGATTGTTTATGGCTACAAAAAGCACCATCCAAGAAAACAGCAAAATGTGCAATGGTATGCTGGGAGTAAAATTGTCCTCCAATTTTATTTCCAGCACATTATAGAACATTCTGCCATACAGAGAGCAGTTAGAGTGCACAGATGTGGGTTAAATGTGCATGCATAACGATGGTGACATGAAAAATTCCAATATATTTCCATTTTAATTACTAACCTACATCTTCAAACACCATTTCATCCATACTGCAACTTACCTGCCATCCTGTCTGGTGATGGTATACCCATAGGCTGGTTTGTTAATGAAGCTGATATTTACACCGACCAGTGGTGTCCCATCTGAAGTCACTACTTGCCCCCGGATAACACAGGCATGACTGCAAGGTTAAAAAAAATTAAAATCATAGTGAGTAAAACAGGTTATGTCGTGTTAGAAAAGCATCAGATGCTATTTGTAAACACATATAATAAATTAAACCACTCTGAGGAAACCTCAGCGGGGTTTCCTGTGTGAGAAGCAAAAGATAAGAGGAAAAAAATAGGATAGTGTTTGTGTCATTCCTACTGTTTGAGAGAACAATGCGGAGGTACGAGTGCTTTCAGTCACAACAGATATCTGGGCTTGAAACTGCCTCTATCTGATGTTATCTGTCTGCTTCAGGAGCTCCGACTTACTGATCGATATGAAAAAGTCAAACACAGTTTCTTAAAATCCTGACCAATTACAAAACAACTCCCCGCTTGACGACTTATGACTCATAGCGTTAGAGATTTTTAATCAGGCTTCATGCTGTTCAGGCTGGAGATTATGAAGGACAAAAAAACAAAAAATAAAACATATATATATATATATTAAAAATATTATATGAAAATTAGAGGGTCTCTTTTTGTAATGTAAATCTGCGACATGATGTAATATCTGGTATTGATGTATGCGATTCATTTGATTGAATAATCGGCATTTCGCAAGAAATGGCTTGCACATTAAAATAAAACATTAAAGTACATTAACATCCAAAAAATTACACACATCAGCTAGGTTAAAGAAAAAAAAAGCGTTTGAGAGAACAATGCGGAGGTACGAGTGCTTTCAGTCACAACAGATATCTGGGCTTGAAACTGCCTCTATCTGATGTTATCTGTCTGCTTCAGGAGCTCCGACTTACTGATCGATATGAAAAAGTCAAACACAGTTTCTTAAAATCCTGACCAATTACAAAACAACTCCCCGCTTGACGACTTATGACTCATAGCGTTAGAGATTTTTAATCAGGCTTCATGCTGTTCAGGCTGGAGATTATGAAGGACAAAAAAACAAAAAATAAAACATATATATATATAAAAAATATTATATGAAAATTAGAGGGTCTCTTTTTGTAATGTAAATCTGCCACATGATGTAATATCTGGTATTGATGTATGCGATTCATTTGATTGAATAATCGGCATTTCGCAAGAAATGGCTTGCACATTAAAATAAAACATTAAAGTACATTAACATCCAAAAAATTACACACATCAGCTAGGTTAAAGAAAAAAAAAGTACCTAGGAAAAAATTACACATTGAGCCTGTTTCTATGAAGGCATTAGGTATTAAACATTTGCCAGGTAGCGGAACAATTAACACTGGTGTGTAAGAGGCTGGCCCCTTCCTGTCCTTACTGCGGGCAAGATCACAGACCCAACAATATCCCTGTCCCAGAGAGGCTAACTTTATGCTAATTTAAGCACCCTCTCACCTTCAGCAGTCCTTGGCTCAGCTCTGTGCCCCTGTAAACAAAGCTAGGAGAGATAGCGCACAAGTGCAGAGCCCCACCACAATGTCTATTATCAGACTGCGAACTCAAGTTGAATAGAAAATAGAGAGAGAAGAAGTGACAAAGAAAGATCACTAAATAAGAGGGTGGAAAGACAGAAAGGGAGAGAGAGCGAGAGATAATGTGTAAAGCTTTTGAAACATTAAAGTACATTAACATCCAAAAAATTACACACATCAGCTAGGTTAAAGAAAAAAAAAGTACCTAGGAAAAAATTACACATTGAGCCTGTTTCTATGAAGGCATTAGGTATTAAACATTTGCCAGGTAGCGGAACAATTAACACTGGTGTGTAAGAGGCTGGCCCCTTCCTGTCCTTACTGCGGGCAAGATCACAGACCCAACAATATCCCTGTCCCAGAGAGGCTAACTTTATGCTAATTTAAGCACCCTCTCACCTTCAGCAGTCCTTGGCTCAGCTCTGTGCCCCTGTAAACAAAGCTAGGAAAGATAGCGCACAAGTGCAGAGCCCCACCACAATGTCTATTATCAGACTGCGAACTCAAGTTGAATAGAAAATAGAGAAGAAGTGACAAAGAAAGATCACTAAATAAGAGGGTGGAAAGACAGAAAGGGAGAGAGAGCGAGAGATAATGTGTAAAGCTTTTTTCTATCTACAACATTGCTCGAGGTGACAGTTTGATTTAGAGTGTTCCCATTCAGAAGGGGCAGCGATGCAGGTTTTCACAGGGTGCACTGAGTGGAACTGAGCCACAGCGAAATATGCCGAGCTGATTCAACAACTCTACGACAAATGATTTAAATATTGATATTAAATACATCTGAAGAAGATAAAGGAGAAAGGAGGAACAGTGAAGTGGTCTAGACAAAAAGTCTAAAGTTTATTTATTCAGCAAACCCCTCTCTCAAGATAGTCGGAATGGCAGATAAAAGTGCAAGGAGGTTTATAAACAACAGAGATACCACCTTGTGTAGCACTGCATTGGCAACTATGTAATAGAAGCAAACTGCAGGCCAGGTTTGACTTGATATTAGAAAAGACATCTTAAATAACTATGAAGCAAAGCATGCTAAACTGTCCTGAGAGGCAGCTTCTGGGAGCGCTAAGAAGCAGTGGTCTGAACGCTTGTGTGTTTGAAAAAGGTTAAAAAAAGGCTGAAATGGTTAATAGGCAAAATTAATGCTTGCAAACTCTTTGCTGAAGTGGAATTATTAAATAAAACTTGCAGCAAGTTTCTTTAGCACTGTAAAGCTAACAAGCTAATTAGATTTGCTTCTGTAAACAGTCACTATGATACTAGGGTTATTATCAGGGCATTGCTAAACAACTTGGCAACAAAAGTACAGCTTAGCATCACTGTTCTTAATTTTGTTGTCAATCCATCTAAAGTCTTGGCATGAAGTCTTAGTAAGCACTGCTAATTACTTAAAAAGCTTCATAAGAGGGGCTAAATACAAACATGCTCCCTCACTTACATTATATCTGTGAACAGCAGTTCTTCCCTTTCGCAGAAACTGTGATGTATTCTAAATAGGCTAAATGGAGAGAAATAATGGGTCATCTCAGGCTGCCCCCACCCCCTCTGCCATCTCCACATGATGGTAAAAGGGGCTAAGTACACTCAGATGCAGCAGGCAAACAACTTGACCCAAGTGCATCTCCAGGCAAGCACATTTATTCGTTTGTGCGATCCATGGTGTTCAGATAAACAGAGCTCATGCTGTAAAGGTTAAAGAACATTGGAAGAACATTCAAAAAGTTTCAGACAGGTGAGTCTTGTAAAACAGGGATGAGAGGTGACTTTGATCATTCCCAGGTGTCTTGCTTTCTTGTGGTTGGACATGTCAGATGTGCATTTTCGACATGTCTCTGAGCATGCAGAAGTGGTTGTGGAATCAATAAAAAGGCCTGATCAGGTGATGGCAAGGGGCTCTTTTAGACCGACTGCGGCTATGTCTAAGAGGTCCATCTGGGCGGCTGTCAGCCTCTCTCATATCTGTCAGTGGGCGGAGGAATGAAGAGGTAATAAATTATATATCAGCCCTGATATTTTTAGGTGAATCGAGGTCTCCGATCTTGCGACTGCTGGCCAACTTCTAAAGCTTTTATTTATTTGTCTCTTTTTTTTCTTTGGAGATGATGCTGATGAAGGGTAGGCCGAGACTCTCATCTTGAAATAATGAAGAGGGTATCGGAAGACTCCCTACAGAGCATCTCAAAAATGTCACCTTGAGAAAATGTCACAGGGCATTACAAGAGCATTTCATGAATACCGGGTGACATGTTCACAAAAGGCTATATCAAACAAAGTCTAGTGTTTCATCTTTGCATGAGGTTATGCGCATCGGACACGAGTTGATTGAGGGCGCAGTGATTTATGCAACAGAAGAACGTCTGGCAGATAGGACTGAAATGAGTGCATGAAGGAGAGCGCTGGACAGCTTTGAAGTGATCAGAGTCTCATTAGGACAGCGCAGATTTGACAAAGGGAGTCCGTGCTTGCCAGAGGCAACAAAAAAAGGCCATTTGGTACAGAGTCTGAGCTGAACTGTGGGAAATGGCCATTTAAGAGATGTAAAAACAATACCCTGCTCACTATAGTTCAGGGAAGGACTGTTCACTGATCCAAAACCCCTCTAAACAAGAAATTTCCACTTGAGTTTCCAAATGAACAAAGCAAGACAAGGTCTAAAAACAGAAGGCTTTGAATCGAAGACCTCTTTGGCACATTATGCCTTATGGAGCTATGAATCAAAACGTCAATGTACCCTGGTTGGCACCATTAGAGACATTCTCCATGGAGAGCTCAAAAAAAATGCTCATTTGTTTGTTACATTTTCATTTTTGCCTTTGAAATGTCAGCTCTACTTTCATGAAAGGAAATGCGGGGATACTCTACGACATTTCAAAGGAGCACAACTTTTTCCCCAAATCTCTAGTAGCATCTTTTGTGCTCATTTCAATTTAGAACAGAAAGAGAGAGAGGGAAGAGACCAGTGCAAGAGTGGGATACAAATGCAAAAGTGGCGTTCTAGGTATTGTTTACAGATAAAAAGGGAACGCCACAAATGGAGGCAAAAGATGAAAAGTCATATGGGATCACACAGTGACAGCACTGTTCTCTCATGTGAAACATCTTTGGGGCACCTTGGGATGAGCCCCATGCCCTGTTTGTTTACAGGAACTAGAGTTGTAGATGGATTGACAGCATCTACTTATAGTTACTGATTGATCTTAATATTACCACTATAGTGAATTGGGATTTGGGATAAATATGGAAAAGAGAACTGCAAGAAACTGCACAACAACTGTGAACATTACTACTGAAATACTTACATGCCATCAAAGGGGTTGGCGCCAGGGATGACGTGGGTACTGTCCCGGCCCACCAGAAAGCGGACACGCTGGTAGAAAAACTGCAGGGTGCTCAGAGTGGAAGAGATCTGGGTTTCCTGGATAATATCCAGTGGATCAGGAGAGCCCACACACAGAGACGTGGTGTGACATGTCTGCAAACAGCAATCCGGGTCCATGCAGTCCATTAACCCATCTGATAGAGAGAGGACAGGTTTAATCTTTAATAACAGGGATGTAGAGTCACAAAATTAATCAATGTATTTTCACAAAATTATTATTTTTTTTAAGTAAGTGACAAACAATGTATCTGATGATAAATTGCCTTCACTTACTAGTGGCAGGATTTACATGGTTTCTAGCTGGACAAAGCTAGCTTAGCTAGTTGATCAGATGGACTACAAATCTACTTATAGTTACTGATTGATCTTAATATTACCACTATAGGGAATTGGGATTTGGGATAAATATGGAAAAGAGAACTGCAAGAAACTGCACAACAACTGTGAACATTACTACTGAAATACTTACATGCCATCAAAGGGGTTGGCGCCAGGGATGACGTGGGTACTGTCCCGGCCCACCAGAAAGCGGACACGCTGGTAGAAAAACTGCAGGGTGCTCAGAGTGGAAGAGATCTGGGTTTCCTGGATAATATCCAGTGGATCAGGAGAGCCCACACACAGAGACGTGGTGTGACATGTCTGCAAACAGCAATCCGGGTCCATGCAGTCCATTAACCCATCTGATAGAGAGAGGACAGGTTTAATCTTTAATAACAGGGATGTAGAGTCACAAAATTAATCAATGTATTTTCACAAAATTATTATTTTTTTAAGTAAGTGACAAACAATGTATCTGATGATAAATTGCCTTCACTTACTAGTGGCAGGATTTACATGGTTTCTAGCTGGACAAAGCTAGCTTAGCTAGTTGATCAGATGGACTACACGCTGGTGTACTTGGTTTCCTGTGGTGGATCATCTTGGTCAAGTTGGTCAGAGGTCATAGACCACCGTGGCCAAGGTGCCACACTACATATAGATTTAATTTGGGTAGGGGTAGGGGGTTAGGTTTAGGGCCTCATTAGCCTATCAGACACAAACTGTGGCACTTTCCTCCAGTGGGCACCAGTGAATGTTCCAGAAACCAGCTTGATCAGGTATGACCTGGTTACCAGAAATGTTCAGAACCTGGAGCACAGATGCCTTCCAACATGCTTATTTTGTCCAAGCTAGCATCATTCCCCTAGGTCAGTATCTTTAAAGGAGAGGAAAAAGATTTCATCATCCCAAGACGAACATGCATGAACCGTTAGCAGGATCTTGAAAACTTCTGAGAAATAACTGCCTCTGTTGGATGGCTCTCTACAGCTGCGTTACTGCAGTAAGTTAGAGCCAGTCTGGCTTCTTATTTCCTTCATGTTTTTTTTCTTTTTTCCCCCCTCTTTCCAACAGTTTCCACACCTTTACAGGCAGCTCAGCCTCTCCCTCCTGTAATTCAGCTGAAATAATTCAGGACTTCAGGCCATGCTGAGAGGAACCCTTTAATGTACTGAACTGGATCATCTCTTATTCTCTAATATCTCTCTCTCTCTTCCTCTCTCTCTACTTTCAGGAACCTCTCTGACCAGATGGGCCAAATTATAAAAATAGCACCTCTCCTGGTGGAAGCGTCACCACTGCTTGTTTCAAGTTGCTGCAATACTACCACCAATTGACTGCTTTAGTGACGTGACATGTGGCCAAGTATGGTGACCCATACTCGGAATTAGTGCTCTGCATTTATCCCATCCAAAGTGCACACACACAGTAGTGAACACACACACACCCGGAGCAGTAGGCAGACATTTTTTGCTGTGGCGCCCGGGGAGCAGTTGGGGGTTCGGTGCCTTGCTCAAGGGCACCTCAGTTGTGGTATTGAAGGTGGGAGAGAGAGCTGTACATTCACTCCCCTCACCTAGAATCCCTGCCGATACGTGACCATTAGGCCAAGACTTTACTATTAACATATGTGCTAGAAGTTTCTGATTGGTATTCTACAGGTTATCATCCATTTTAGTTTGGTCTGCATGTCTTTTCCATTTGGCTGGATACCCTCACAACCTGTTTTTGCTGTTTTCATGAGAATCTCTACAAAGCAATTATTTAGGAAGGTCACAAAAGCACCATCAGGCCTGTATCTGCAACAAATGCTAGTCAGTGCTAAAACAGAGTTTGGTAACTACAGCAGAACAATAATCTCCCCGAAGAGTGTGCTCTACAGTGCAAAACAATTTTTATTCTCAGAGTGGTTTGTGAAAGGACAAGGCTACCTTTGATTTAGAGGCTTGGCAGGAGGTCTTTTCCAAGCTGATGCTTGCTGGGAAATGGAAGCTAGGTGATGTGGATTTAGTTCGTCTCTCTGTGAGCTTAGGGAACTTGAAGCCTATGACTTTGACTAAAACAACCCACTCTTCTACAAGTGGGTCCACGTATCCACAGGGAAGGTCTGATAATTTCCAATGCTATTTAAAGAGCTGAATGCTTTTAGCTCAATGAAGGTGCTCAAGGCAAACTCTAGATTGTAGTGTTTTAAGTGACAAACTGACAACAGCATAGGCATCATAAACAACTCTAATGTGGGCAATAAAGAAGAGAAGAGAAAAGAAGAGACCCCAGCAAAGACTGTTGAATCTTCCTAATAAATGTCAAGGCAGCGTGTTGTTTGTGTTGTACCTCCATCATTGTCCTTGCCGTCACTGCAGGCCGTCTCCATTGATGTGTCACAGCCTGCTCCCCGCCAGCCCAGCTGACAAACGCAGTACCAGCCATTATTACCCAGTGTGCATCTGCCGTTGCCATTGCACAGACCAGGACAGCCCTCTGTGCACACAAAAGCAAAGCATACACATTAGAGAGGGCACTTTTCACCAAAACAAACATTGCACTATAACAGACAAGACGTTGAAAAGCCTAGTTACTATATCCTAGATGAAAAAATTCAAAATGAAGTGTTGTGGGTCAAAAGAGTGCTTCAGCAATAACAATGATAACTTTAGGTGATTAACTGATACACCTTTTTAAGCCCTTATATCCTATAGAGGCAGACTCATACTGCAGAGCTCCTCTGGATCAATAAATTCTCATTAGTGTTGTACAATAGATGCAGAACTCTGCTCTAAACAGAAAGCGAGAGAGAGAGAGCAAGAAAAAGAGCTAATTCTAACCTGGAAAAAAAAACAATTACCTCAACTAGATAAACAGCAATATGGATAATCACAGTGTTTCTTGGGTAATACAACTAACAACCTTAGCTTTAGATAGCAGACTAGTCTAAAATGTGGAAACCACAAGCACCAGGTACAACACAAACCATATGCTTAATTCCAATACTGTAAATGCCATGGCACATTTCGAAATAAGATTTCATAGGCCTGTGCATGAGCAGGGAGGTTAATGCTGACAGGATGTAGACAGCACAGGTGGCACACGGTCCTACAGACATGGTACACTCCATACGACAGCGTAAAATGTCTGTCATTGTCATCTGTTTCCTCCTCCCCTCACTGTCACTTATCAGCTACCTGTCCAATTCCATTTCCTAAGATGAAAACATAGACGAAAGGCAAGAAACCCTGCACAATCAAATGTAAAATCCTGACATGCTTTTCACAAGCCAAGAGCCGCTCTCCAAGATGTCTGAGCTGACCTATTTTGTCAGCGACAGTTAGCACAGCCACTGCTCGAACATCACAGAGACTAAAGGAAGGGAGAGAGAGAGTGGGAGTTTGTATATAGAAAGAAAGGTGGTGGGTGCCTGATAAGAAGGAAATGTGAGATGCCTCTAAAAGCCATGATCATTTCTAAAGATGGCTCAATGTGGAATGGCATGCAGTGTTTTCATCTATGACTTGTGCATCATGATGCTATGCTCAATGTTTCAAGACAGTTGTGCTTCAATAACTGATGTTAGCACATTTAGCACCATCTGACGCAAGGAAAAAAAATCGCTGATCTTTGCCATAGCAGGTAAGTCTACACCTAAATGGAGAATCCATTATGAAAGTGGGCTGTAATGTTGACTTAAATAATTATATAGCTGCACAGATCAGCACAATGTCATGCAAATATAAGAAAGAGCAATGGAGCTGTAGAATATTGGTAAGAGCACATGCTCTGATACAGTGAGCTATGATACTCTTGGGTAAAGAATCCCAAATGTCAATTTTCACGACTAGCATGATCTTGTCTAAACATGCTCCTGGAAGACCAGACTACCTTCCTGCAGATTTTAGTGCTAACCCCAATTAAACACACCAGAACCAGTTAATCAAGGTCCATTTGCTTACTCGAAAGTTCCAGGCAGGTGTACTGGATCAAGCTGAAACTAAATTCTTTAGAAAGGTGGACCATCAGGAGCAGTAGCATGTCCCAGTGTGCACAGTAGGGTGTCTCGTTTGCAGGACCCACACATCATTGATGCTTTGCACTTCTCAGTGGAGAACTACTAAACAGTCAGTACACAATGCTATGTCAACAGTGTGTGCACTTTGAGGACGACTAAGGGAGCCATATGGAACGAGACCAATTGATGATCTCATTTCTTGTCTTTTTTCGACTCTCAACGGAAATGACAAAAAAGCAGATCACAAAACACAAGGTTGCATTTGCATTCACAGCCTCCAGCTGACCTCACATCGGTGTAAGGTCGATCTTTTGCGCTACAAGGCAGGCAATGACAGTTATATGCTTTGCTAACAAGCAAAGAATGAGCTTGACCAGTAGACAGCAGGTTCCTCAAACACCCAAACAGACAAACAGCTGCACAGTCTGCAGTGGCGAGACATCTGCATGGTCTGTTCTGAATGCTTATTAAATAACTAAATAAATAAAGATCTGTGCTCTGCTGGCAGCAATTCAGCTTAATTGGCAGCCCTTTCAGAGAGAGGCCCCTGTGGAGCGCACCCGCGCATCAGGCAGAAATGGCTCCGGAGGGCCACAAACCACATCGCGCGACCCCTGCAGTTCACGCTAGCCGCACAGCTTCTCTGTGTGGGAAGAAATGGAGGGAAGGGGTGGGCTCATAGAGCAAGAAAACCAGAGACAAGAAAGGAAAAAACAAGGAGCAGGTAGGGAGTGTAGGCGGCTCGGGGCCCTGGCATCACCGGTGCATAGCAGGCTTTAATTAGGCTGCCGCTTCAGCACCTCTCAGAACCCTCTCCCTGTGCTACACAGCTGCACTGAACATCCATTATGCATGGCGCCGGTTGGCAAGGTCCGTGACCCTCCGCCAGCCCTCCCTCCTTGGATCATGTGGGCCATCCATCCCCTTGAGTTCCACAGCAGGTATACGGCGGCAAAGGAGACGATCCGGCTCTCGTGCCGCCCACTCAGCAGGCGTGAAGGTGCTAAGTGGCGAGGTGGCAGAGCAGCGCATTGGATGTGGTGGCACAACAGCAGCATGACGCAGCAAAGACTGTGGTTAGTGTGGCATGAAGCATGGGCTAAATGAAAATAGCAGCGCAACCCTAAAGATGAGCATTACGAAGGATGGGCTGATGGAAACATGATGGACGACAGAACATGAGAGAGGAAGAAAAGATAGGACAGAAGGAGTGCCATACCTTTCACTACCTTATCCAGATAGTGAGCTTTAGGGGGAGATAAAAGACAAGGACATATAAGGGAGGTTTTGAACAGTGCTGCTTCCATGACAAGACACAGACAGCTAGAGGCATGGGCTGGTTGCTCAAGACTTCTACGTTTACAGAAACACAGGGGCTGCAAAAGCTATAGCAAGAAAAATAGCATGCAAAAAGCAACATGTCACATCACAGGCTGGGAGAAAGTTAAAGGTATGGTGTGACAGGGTAGAGAAAGAGAGAGATGGAAAAAAGATGTAGCGTGAAGTCTCAGTTTATCAGTACATTTATTATAGGAGTGAGATGTTTTGGCAACACTTTCTATGAAGCCTGAATATATAAACCATTATAAAGCTCTTCTTACTACCTTATGTTAGACATTGTAATTTTTGACATAATTGTTTTTAAAATATATTATTTTTAAGAAAGAGCGTGTCACTGATGAGACAGCCACACTCTAATCCAAACTGCAGTGAAGAGGCTACACGTCATCTGTCGAACATTCTGTACATTACATCATGGACCGTCACACTTTGCCTTTAATGGCACATGCTGTTGGAATGCTATGTCTCACTATGGTACATGTATGAAGAACATCAATAATGCATCAATAAATTATTAAAAGACAGAATTTAATTAATTAATTACATTGAATTATTCGAGCCGTTCATGCCAGACTGGGGAGAGAGGTGTTGTAATAATGTAAAATATGTGAAAAATTAAAAAAGTAAGAAAAAGTTTTTCGAACAACCTAGTATGAGAGCCTGTTCTAGTACACCCCCAAAACAAAATCAAGACTTTGTAAAAGAGCATAATAGGACCCCTTTAATGTTTTTGCAGTTTAATTCCCCAATGTAAAGAATGTCTTTCTAGTGACTGCTCTGCTCATGCAATGCAAATGTTTGTGTTTAAAATGAACTAATTGAAAGGAACGAGAGAGAGAATAAGAAAGGAGGGAAATGATGAGTAGAAATGAAAAGACACCTTAGCACATTCCTACATTAAAATGCATGAAGACAAGCTTCATATCCTTGAGCAAACCTGTTCATGCTATGCCGAGATGCACAAATTCAATTACGCATGCTTCTCTCACACCTCCTTGCCCGCCCCTTCCCCCCGTCACGACCCCACCCTCATCCGACACTTCACGCACACATAAACGAACGCATCCGTCTTACCTATAGTGCAGTGTTCTCCGTTCCATCCTGGGCTGCATGCACACTTCCCATCTTTGCAGGTCCCGTGCTCGCTGCAGCGTGGGTGACAAGCCCGTTGTTCGCACCCAGCACCCATCCAGCCCTCGTCACAGCGACAGTTGCCCGCCACGCAGATGCCATGTCCTCCACAGTCGGCTGCACACAGCTCTGTGGGACACGGGGAAAGAAGGGGTGTTACCGAATAGTAGTTGGGACAGGGGGTAAAGAGAAAGCAAATCCAGGAGTTATTATCAGTGATGGGATGGCCACGCTCCACTACCTTGTCTGATGGGTAGTGAAAAGAAATTCCTGCACCTCATAAAGGGGGCAATCCCCTTTGGACAATACAAATCTAATAAGACCATTACAAAGCAGGGCTTCAGGGATTGTGGGAGGTTTAACAGGGCAGTGTCTCTTCCTTTCTTTTTTGGGGGGAATTCCTCCTTTTGTGTGGAGGGGAGTAGGCAAAAACGGAAAAAAAGAAGAAAGAAAAGTCAAAGAACAAAATCCAATTTTGACTTCCCATAGAAATGGAGACACACGCTGGATTATTTAAGTCGGTTTTTCTGCATAAGTAATGAGGTGAAAGCTGAGACAGCATGGCACAAAATGCTATAAAAGAAAGATTTGTGAGACAATAATTGAAAGTTAGTTCACAAATTAAATCTAACACATGAGATTTTAAAAATAAAATGGTCTCTGCCTCTGAGGGCTTATAGGGGAGGTTTGGCTGTGTGAACCGAAAGTGCCAATTAATTCACTTGACACTACATATCACACCTAGTGAGTTTGAAACTTTGACATAATGGAAAAGTTCCAGAAACATGTGTGGCATAAAGCGCAAAACATCAATTGAAATGATAAGGTGAAGTTAACAAGAAATACTTCAGGGAAGTTGACAGACCCAGACGTTAGACTTCATTTACAACTGCATAAAGAAGTCAGTGAATGACTGGAAGTGTCATGATTTGGGAGATGTGTTCTGCAGCAGGAGTTGGGCCTCTTATTCAGCTACATGGCAGGGTGAATGCAAATGTTTATCAGAACCTCCTTCATCAACATGCGGTACCTTCCCTGCAAGCATCTCCCAATCAGCCTGCAACTTTCATGCAAGACAATGACCCCGTCACACTGCAAAACAGGTAACTCGGTTAGTTGAAGCTAAGAACACTGAAAATAATGAAATGGTCGGCCCAGAGATCTAAACCAGATTGAAAATCTCTGTAAAATTCTCGGCGACTAAGCAACCCACTACAGTCACTGAACTATGGAAGAGATCCAAGATCACACCAGCACAGTCTAAAAAAAACTACTGATGTCCTGCAGCCGCAGATGTGCTGAAGTCATACAAAGCAAGGGCCTCTACACTTCCTACTAATGTCTGACAGCTGCAACCCTCCAAATTTTTAGTTGTAATCTTCTTTCGTACTACAGTGGTTACTATTTTCTAATTTTGATGACTGTTTTCCACAAAATACAGGTTTTTGTAGAAATGGTTATTTTGTCAAACATGTTAGTGGAACAGTGGTATACCTACAGCTAATATTCCTTCATATTTGGAGCGATGAAGATTAACAATATTTCAGAAAAAAAAAAAATCAAGTATTTATAGATTGTTCTCTAATTCTGATCTCCACTGTACTGTATATATATAATAAAATAAAAAAATTCAGTTTATCAAAATGATTGTGGTGTATGCTTTTATTGGTGGATACAATGTAAAATCTTGCTATGTAAAAAAGAAACATTAGCACACATTATGCATCGAGTACTCTAATATAATAAAAATAACGGCCCCCTTGAAAACATAGAACAGTGATTATGTGCCGTTGTCTAATTTGTAAAATGTATGCAGAAGGGAGTCAGAAAGAAGGTTGCCTATAGGCCATTAATGAGTCAATTATGTTCATGTAGCTCTGCATTTTGTCATTGTTACAAATTAAACAGAGTTAAGTTGGTATTTTCAGGCACAAACCATAACATGGCATTACCAGATTTAAAAGCTTGAAGGAAAAAAATCCTTACCTCGTGCTAATTACAGCGCTGGGCCTTTGTCAAATTATGTAAATGCCCTTAATTTCACATGCAACATTTCAATTAGAGTCATCCTAATGGCATTTCATTCAGAGCTGCTTAAAGTTGTCAGGGAGACACACAGTTGCTCATTTCCTCTGGTTCTTGCTCTCCTTTATTGTCCCTCTCTCAATTTGCTTAGTGAATTTTGCCCCTCGCTCTCTCGCATACACACAAAAACAACTCGCTAGATTATTGGAATATCGTTTTCTCATAACAGTGTTCCTCAAAGCGATTCTCATAAAGGTAACACACCAGCCAAATGACAGGATGATACCATCTGCGAATCGTTCCAACAATGCTTCACTGCAGGGCAAAGACGCTACTAACGTACAATAATTGGGTAACTCCTGCTTGCGTCCTTTAATGGAGGAGGAGAACTAATTGATGCAGATCTTGCATGTTTGCAACAGCTCATTTCAAAACGTGGTGGAGCTGCCCGACTGCCCACATACTACTAGAGCTGAAAGCTTTCTTATTCAATTACCAACACTGAACAAGAGAACTGAGGCAAAAAGAAGGAAAACAGGGGAAAGAAATAATTTTCATCTTAGGAGTGGCCTTATCTCCGTTTAGTTTTGCTGCATAACATTTATTTTACCCCCAAAATGTGTTAGAACCATTACTTGTACAATTAATGCGTGTTACATTTGCAGAAAAAACATTTTCCACAGTGTATCAGTAAATTAGGGATATGCCGGTATCAAATTTTCAAGTTGCGATTAATTGCTAATGCTTTTATCACGGTATACGGTATTATCACGGTATTGAAATTTAGTTTTTTTAAAAAAGTGTTGTCATAATACAGTATAACAGGTTTAATAACTTTTTTCTTATAACAAAAAGAACTGAACATTTAAATGCAATAAAAAGCAATACAGAAAAATGTATAAAGTTAAAAGTTTTACACAGATTAAAGTGCAAAAGAACTATAAAGACCAATAGGTATCACTTTACAATAAGACCTCATTAGTTAACCTTAGTTAATGCATTAACATTCACAACGAGCAATAGCTACATTTGCTACAGAAGTAAGTAAGTCAGTCTTAGTTCATGTTAGCTCATTAAATAACATAGTTGCAACTTTCGATTTTAACAACGTGTTATTAAATATCGGAATACCTAAGATTAATTAATGTTCAGAATAATTTTTCATTGGCAGTTTATGTTAACTAATAAATTAACTAATGTTAACTAATGAAGCCCTAATGTAAAGTGTGACCGAACAATAAAGAAACAAAACACTTTCAAACAATATCTAGGGCATGTTGTAGTCCAGATTAAAATGTAAAAAAAGTTTGAAAATAAATAGCCTATTAAGTCTAAATATTTAAGTTTATTGAACATCACGGCAAATACACAAATCTGAATGGCTGTTTAAATCATTTAAACACGATTCAGAAACAGAAAGTAGTGCAGCTGCTTTGTTTACAGGGTTTACGGGGTAACGGCTGCATTTAAATGAATTATTATTATTATTATTTCTGCAGTTGAGCGCCATCTGCTGTCAGAGAGTGAAAGTGTGCTTTCATCCAGAGCGTCTCTCACATGGCGTCTTTCACACAGCATACAGCGGTGTTGTGTATTTTGACCAGTTTATGGGAAAAGTATTCTTAAAATGCATTCAAAATTCTGAATAATTTGTTATATATAATTATTCACGGTATTTAGAAGTTCCCACGATAACAATATCGTGCATATTAATTACCGTGATATATCGTATTACCGAATACCGGCACAAGTCTAGTAGCAATACATGAAATGTTTGTCAGTGTTAAACGGTTGCCAGATGTTTGCCACAGGAGGTAAATATACTTATGTTATGTTATCTTATTTATTATTTGTATCTTTTTTATTTTAATTTAAACTTGATGTTAAACTAAAGTAAATGAAGTAAGTTAAAGTAAAATAGTACAATTAAATAACATTATTCACAGCGTATCGATATGAATACATGTGTTAAATTTGCTGGGTGTTTTTCTGGTGTGGTTGCAATTCAGATCGGTGAGCAGAGGCAGGCGGAGAGAGTACAAGTCTCGTAATAATTTAGTCATGGCTTTAAACGGCTATTTCCAGCAAAGCTCTTGGATTACCCAATAGGTCAGTCTGTCTGCTTGGCATTAAAGTGAAATTCATATTCACATTCATATTGTTTTTCAAAAATTTGCTGAAGCAAAATTCCCATTAGTTCTCTGATCTCTTAAGCTTTGCGGTGTTTACAATAGGCGCGACCAAAATAACGATATTGCATCACTGCTTTTGAGCACTTCTGGAGAGATATCAATAATAAATGTCCTCGTTTCAAAACTGGTTTAGTAAAATAGCATTTGGGTTTCTCCCTTGTGTTACAGGGGAAGAAAAAAACGTATTATCAATAACTAAAACTAAAACTATAGAAAACATTTTATTAATTTAAATAAAAGAGAATTAATAGGTGAAAAAACAGAAATCTTAGCTTGGCATCTAATTAAAATAATTGTCTGCACTAAAACGACTAACTAGAAATAAAACTGAATTAAAAATAAATTAATCCTAAATAGCAATATTTAAAAAAATAAATACATAATTAATAAGAATGACAAAAGCACATAGCCAAATTGCAAAATATTGAACTAAAATTGAAATGAAACCTGAAAATAGAAAAGTAAAGCTAATTTAAAATTTTAATTAAAAACAATTATAAATAAAAAAAACAATAGTACATAAATAATGCTAAAATAACACTGATCGGTGCACATAAATGAAAATAATTAAAGATCATTCTTCCTTGTGGTAATTTAGTGAAACTGACAAATAAATAAATAATATATAGGTATATATTTGGTCCTACACTAAAGTACCGAATTTCAGACACACCTGAATAATATTTAATGGAATTATAATTTTTTAATTGCCATTTAAAAAAAAAAAAAAATTGAATTACCTCATGAAGTAAGTTAAGATAAAAGGCAGAGATGAAAACTAAACAAAGGATTGTTGCTTTGAAGATAACATGTTTTGATTTGTGTAGCATTTTTAGACATAATAAAGAATTAGTAAGTGTGTCCAATCTTCTGACCATTAATATGTATTAATATATATTTCGGAATGTTAAAATACAAATGCTGAACATTACTTTTGTTAGTAAAATGTTTAGGTGCATCTCCTGGTTCCAACCAACTGCACTAGCGTATTACAGGCTGTCTGCCTTTCACATTAACTAAACCACAAGTGGAAGACTCATGTCCACTGTAGTCATCAGTGTACCATCTTCAGTGAAAATTAAAGCACACTATCCACGTCGCTGTTTAACAGAATCTGGCTCTCGCCATCCGCCATGAGGTGCTAAACAACTTTTGCTGCATCAGACGCTGCTGTTTCACCCCCACCTCCTGATGGAGGTCTAACTAGTGTGACCGAAACAGCTCAAATGTGGAAAAATCTCTGTGAAAAGGGGACTAAATTGTTTTGAAACCATGGAGAATTTGACCAAACGGTCTATTCTTGATTAGAAAAAAAGAAAGGAGATGGCACAGTGGTGACTTTATCAACCAAGTTTATAAATGGCTGCTTAATATATTTTTGAAGTGTTCAGAATTTCAACATTTTAATTTAAACTTCCAGTTATAGGCAAAAGATTGCATGTTTACTGAAGCGCTTTGCACATATTGTTTTCTCAATCACACAAGCTGAGAACATTGAGGTAAATTAGGTGGAGCATGAAATTACACCCTGACACCTTTAGTCACCGCTGTCATGGCAACAGGTGGCGTGGAGATTAGCAAAGCTCAGCTGCATCAAGGTTCATTTAGAGGGTTTACGAGATTTTAACATGAATCAGTTCATGCACAGGCACGCATAAATATGTGTTGAACCGCTCACAAAGACAGAAATTCAAAAACACAGGTGTACAATTTGCCCTTCAGATTAGTGTGATGCTAACACTGTTGCACATAGTGCGCTCTGAGACACAGATACGCGATATGATCAGATTAGGCAGGTATTTGTATAGATACTTATATGATTAGTAATTATCAAAGGTCAAAATGAAGCAATATTTCTCTGAATATGGTAATTATTCAGTGCAAATGTTGCATGATTTATTTTATTTTTTTATATATATTCGCATGGAAGCCCGTTTCCGCTACAGAATAAATAATATAAAATGTAATTGCAACTTTTTCTCTCACGATTCTGACTTTTTTTCTCTCAATTGCGAGTTTATATCTCACAATTCTGACTTTATAACACGCAGTTGTGACTTTATATGACGCTATTCTGACTTTATAACTCACAATTGCCAGAAAAAAAAAGTCAGAATTGTTAGACTGAATGTCGCGTTTACCTTTTTTTATACAGTTGTGGCTTCTATATATCTGTGATTACTGTGTTCACATTTATCCTTTGTGAAAGGCTCATTACACTAGTTTTGCAATTCTTCTTTGTCTTGTGTCTCATGAGTATGAGAGTTTTAAGACAGATGTTTTAATAGTGTTTCTGATTAACTTCAGTAGCATAATTGGTGTCACAATCTGTAAACTCAATTTTCAAAATTTACAAAATCAAAATTTACACAAATTAGTCCAATCTCTTTGTTTTAGTGAAATCAAAATGTGTTTTAGTTCAGTGTTGGTAGATGTTAATGTAGGTAAAGTCAATTTGAATTGTAATTTGCAACCTATTTTACTTTCATAATCTGATGTATTGCCATGTATTGTTGTATTGGTGCCAGTGTTGTTAATTAAAACTAAAACTATGCGATTTCAATTTTTCCTTTCTCTTTGGAGTGTTACAAGCTCTTGGTGCATAAAGAAGATCTGTAAAGTTGCAAAGACTAAAGTCTCAAATCCAAAGAGATATTCTTTATAAAAGTTAAGAGTCAACCACGCCCTCCTAAAACAGCTCGTTCTAACACGCCCCCACATGTCTACGTCACAATGTGGGAAGATTTGAATAATGCTGCCCAAATGTTCACGCAAAGAAAGAAGGTGTAACTTTGATTCTCCCTGTAGTGTTGCTGCCGCCGCCTTCCAAAAGAGGACACAACTAGAAATCAGTGGTTAAGTTCTATTTACAACACTGTTCCAGAACAGTTCAACCCAAATATTCAGATGTGTGATGCACATTTTGCGGAGGTTGAGGACTGTTTCCTGTGAGAGTAGCCTACAATGCCGGCCTTCCAAAAGAGGACACAACTAGAAATCAGTGGTTAAGTTGTATTTACAACACTGTTCCAGAACAGTTCAACCCAAATATTCAGATGTCTGCAGCGCATTTTATGGAGGATGAGGACTATTTCCTGTGAGAGTAGCCTACATTGCCGGTGTCTGTTTCTATAAAGTGGGGCAATTTCAACTTTGCAAGGACAGTCTGGCACTTCTGACTCACAGCCTGTAAGTATGCTTTCATATTTAAAGAATTTGCCACTGACGATTCAAACACGAGTTTTAAGCAGTGTAGAGTAGCGCTTGTTGTTTGTCATTTCTCCAATCACAAATGCAGACATGGTTTTATGTTTACACAGCGCGATATGTAACGCTACGCGTAAAAACTGGATGCTACAAATGCCTCGTTTGTAATGGGTTTTATTGGTTTTGTCTCATCGCACCAGGACACGCATCACAGTATGGTAAGGGGCGTAACATTTCTGTCACACGCTTGAGGTATTCGGCCAATCACAACGCACTGGATAGCTGGCCAATCAGAGCACACCTCGCTTTTCAGACCGATGAGCTTTGTAAAAATCGACGTGTTTCAGAAAGGCAGGGCATAGAGGAGAAACAATAATGCACATTATGTGGAAAAGAATGTGTTTTTTTTACCTTAAACCGCATAAACATTTCATTAAACCAAATACACAAAATAATGTTCTTTTCAGCAACGTCATATGACCCCTTTAAAAATCTACCACTGTTCTGACCTGTGGAGCAGTCGTGACCAGTCCAGTTGGGGTCACAATTACAGGTGTTGGTATCAGCCAAAAAGGTCCCATGTCCAGAGCACTGCTCCATACAGGAAGCACGTGGACTCTCGCATCCAGGACCTCCCCAGCCTATAAAACAATGGCACTCTCCGCGCACACAGACACCTCTCCCTGAGCAGGCTGGGTCCAGGCAGTCCACTGCAAATTAGAAAGCACAAAGCACGTATTAACTGACTCATTTTCACATCAAAAGATAATTCAGAAGCAGAATTCAAAGTAAAAATACACCAGTGAAGCCATTTCCCATCAGACCAAACTCATCATCAAAGACAAGCGCACTTGATCAAACTTGAACAGATGCATGTGTTCACATTAAACTCATAGCTCAGTGTCCCCTGCTGTTGCTCTTCCTTTCAAAGTATGACTCAAGCCTTCGTCATCAATCCCAGGCCAAAAAAAAAAATTACTCTAGAGGTTTAGCTCTTGTAGCGGAGAGCGCGCCACATGCCCAGCCATGTCTGAGGAGGTCTGACACTTCCAAAAACCCTGAGAGAAACAGGATTTACAAATGGTCAAATTAAACGGCCACATTGACTGTCGTGCAGTAAACTGGCAGGTGGGAAGAGTGTTGCGCTCTCTCTCTGACTCCTCTAGCTGCTGGTAATGAGATTTCCTCTCAGCACAGGGAGGGGAAAAGACTGGCGCGGTCGGAGCATGTTCTGCTAAATTGAAAAGCGATGCTGGATGTGGTCCCCCCACTTACTGTGAACCCAAAACCAAGCGTGACAGAATGCAAACAAGGACACCTACAATGGCCCATGGGCGAAAGGCTTATCTTCCTGTACCCACATTACTCTAAATTCATTTCTAATCCTCGTTGAAGAATATGCTATGGATCAGTCACCCCAAACCAATATTCTAAAGATGGAGGTTCGCGAAAGAAAGTAAAATTGATTAAAGTGAAAATAAAACTTAATTCATAAAGGGAATGGGGGGGGGAATGTAGGCAGAAGGGTTGTGCACCATTCAGAACTGAACTGAGAATTATTTTTACATTCCAATTCAATTTCTGAACTTGAACTGACGTAGCCAACACAATGCACAACCGCCATTCAAATTTGAATGTAAGTAAATATGATATAAGTTGATATTTTAACTTTATTTTAACTAGAAAACCCATGTTTGCCAAGATTTTAGAAATTTTTATAGATAAGATTTATAGATAGATATAGAACAAAAGGATGCTAGATAGACAGAGTGAATACATGCCAGAACAGCAGAATGCTAAAACAAGCAACTATTGAATACTAAAATGAACAAATGAATGATAGGATGATGGAACGAAAAAAAACAAACAATAGAATGTTAAAGCAAATGATAGAATACTATAGAATGCATGTTGGAGCCGATAGTTTCACTGTTGCAGCATTCTCTCCCACTACATTTCCTGTTAATTCTATATTATCCTAACTCAATAAAGGCAAAATTCATCATAGAATGCATGAATGGACAAATGATAGAATTCATGAATGACCACACAAACAAATGGTCGATAGATAACTATATTGCTATATAGAAAGGATTATTTATTTAGCATATTTAATAACCAGGGTGAAATAATACTTGATCTCCCAAAGTGTTTTTCTTTTCAGTTCTTTCAATTGCAATTTGGTAAATTCCTCTTTCTTGTCAATTTCCAATTGAAAATCATGTGGGTGTGGCCTATTCAAATTCCATAGCTGATATGAGACAATTCTTCAATTCTGAATTTTGCACAACCATCATAGGATCGGAGTTTTGATATATTGGGAATTATTAGGATCCACACAGGAATGGGTATTAAGTAATTACAAAGTATGAAACTTGGAGAAGCTGGTAAAGTATATTTGGCCTGCATTTATTTGATACAAATACAGTAACAACAGTAATATTGTGAAAAATTATTACAGTTTAAAATAACTGATTTCCATTTTATGTTAAGATATAATTTATACCTATGATTCAAAACTGAATTTTAAGCATCATTAGTCCAGTCTTCAGTGTCACATGATCATTCAGAAATTATTTTAATATGCTGATTTGCTGCTTTATTATCATTGTTGAAAAAAAAAGAATGAAACCATTACATATTTATTTTACTTTTTTTTTAGGTTTAAAAGAACAACATTAACTTAGAATAGACTTTCTTTGTAGTCTTTAGACATTTTTTAAGTCTTTACTGCCACTTTTGTTCTAAAAAAAAAAAAACATCTTACTGACCCCAAACTTTTGAACAGTAGTGTATATCCATTAGAAAATGAAGGTATGAACCAAGATTGTGCCCTCACAGATGGCTAACATGAGGCCAGCTGGGACATGATGGGAAAGAAGGGATGGGGTCACTACATTGCCGACTCCCTTTACCGTGACACAAATGGGTGGAGAGGCCTTTCCTATAGATAAGCAGGAGTTCAGGTCTCTTAGCAGATGGTTTGGGCACAAGGCACAGAGATCATAGGCTAAATGACAAGAGCCTCTCTCCTGGCAATTAATCATCACCGCCTGAAGGTCGCGGCGAAGAAAGGTAGAACCGTTAAAGGGCCAGCATCGGCATTCTCTAACTCGAACGGCCAACGGTGAGACCCGAAATAGAATTGCCGGGGGTCAGAGGAGTCAGAACATACCATTTGTCAAAATCGGTTAGATCATTTTTCATCTGGAAATGAGAGCCTTCAAAAACTGCCAAACACAATGGCTACTTTAATCTCATCTCTTCAAGCCTTGGTCGCCCCTCTCGTTGGGCCGCTGTAGTCTCAGTACAGACTTCTCGGAGCAAATTCAACTTATTGGATCTTGACACAAAAGAATTGTTCATCTCTTAATGGATTGCTTTGGACCCACAGAAGTATCCATAATGCATGTAAAGGAGCGAGGAGACTTTCTAGGCATAACGAGACGAGTCAGATACATATGGGCCCGCTACAAACTCGAAGGTCATGTACGCCCATCTTAAATATTCAGAAGGGGACATATGCATACTAAAAAAGGCCACAAAGGGCCTCTTTCTCCATTTCTGTGCAATTTGGTGCATACAAATGCTGTGAAAAATATTTTTTTCTTTATAAAAAGGGGCAACAGAGCCACTAAAATAGCTCAGACATCCTTACAACAAAAGTATTATTGTGGTATAATGGTTAGAGACAGGCGATGCTACACATGTAACAGCTGAAAGTTTATTTGTCCAACATTTAGGAGTATACTAGCAAAAAAAATAAATAATAATAATAATAATAATATATATATATATATATATATATATATATACACACACACTACTGGTCAAATGTTTGGACTAATTACAAATATTTTTTTAATGTTTTTGAAAAAGGGTCTTATAGCTGCATTTATATGATGAAAAATAAAGTTAAAAAAGCCATATAGTGAAATATTATTACAGTTTAAAATAACTGTTTAGTGTAAGTAAGTTTAGGGTAAGATAAAAAAAATAAAAAATAAATAAAGAATAAGAATAAAATAAGAATCAAAAATACTTTTATTCAGCAAGGACACACAAAATGGATCAAAAGTGACAGCAAAAGGCATTTTAATGTTATAAAAAATTTCCATTTTAAATAAGTGCTGTTCTTTTGAAATTTCTATTCATCAAAGAATCCTGGAAAAAAATATGTATCATGGTTTGGACAAAAATATTAAAGGTCCCATATTGTCAAAACTGAAATTTCCTGGCTTTTTTCATGATAACTGCGGTCTAGGGGCTATTTAACTACCATATACGTTTCAAAACAGTCAGTCCACAGTAAAATTCACACAGCCTGCTTAAAGTTCTAGCTATTTTTCACGAACCGTTGTGACTTCCGTAAAAAGTTGACGTCAGAACTACAGTCACCACCTTCAGTCACCACCCCGAGCACCACCCACCGTCCCAAAGTGGTTGGCCTGGTCATGCGTCACTCAGAAAACAACAGGCCAATTAGAAGAGAGGCTCATGAATATTAATTAGACTGACCAAAATTGACCTGTAAAATATATTGAGATGATTTTTGGTACTTATAGCGCAAATATATATTCTTAAGGACATCAAAACCTAAAATAAAACTCCAGAAAGGTGTACAATATGGGACCTTTAAGCAGAAAAAAACTGTTTGGTAATAATAAGAAATTTTTCTTGATCATCAAGTCAGCATATCAGAATGATTTTTGAAGGACACTAAAGACTGGAGTAATGGCTGCAGACAAATAGAAACAGTTATTTTAAACTGTAATAATATTTAATAACAGCACTGTTTTTTTTAACTGTATTTTTGATTAAATAAATGCAGTCTTGGTGAGCATAAGAGTCGTCTTTCAAAAACATTAGAAAATATGAATTTTCCCAAACTTTTGACCTGTACTTTAGTAGTTTTTATTTTTCTCCCTCTATTTTTCTGGTACCTTCTTCACAGTTCTCCCCTTTGTAGCCAGGATTACAGATGCAAGTTCCCACAATGCATGTGCCATGACCGCTGCAGGTAATGTCGATGCACTGGTTGGTAGGAATGTCACATTCGGATCCTTTCCAACCGCTGTGACACATGCAATGGCCTTTAAGGTACTGACCGTTCCCACTGCAAAGCACTGGACAGGATGCTGGAAAGAGTACACACAACATGTAAAAGGTCTGCCAGATGTAGCATTAAAAAAAAAAAAAAAAACACTGCTTGTGCTGCATGGTCTGCTGGACTCTTGTAGGAAGATGGCAGCTCATGTCTGTGTAAAAATCAATATGACCACTGCAGCAAAAGTTACAGTGGTAAAAGTGAGTGAGACCATATTGATCCAGAAGTTTTGTGTATAAACAAGGGTCTAGAAAACACTAGAAAGAGCAAAAGAGAAATGGTTACCTTAATGCCTGCCAAAAAAAAGAAGAAGCTACAGTTACTACATAACTATAATGTTAATTCTAATGCATACATTTTGAAATGTCCAAATGAATATATTTTTATTGAATTTTATTAAGGCTTGTATTTATTAATCCTCACACTTTTATACAAACACACATACACACAAATCGACATACAGTACTTATTACAATCACTTATTTTACTGTGACTAATACAGAGTTGAAAACAACAGTTATCATGGTTATAGTTTTTAAGGAAGGGAAAATGTTTGAGTGACCGAGAAAGATTGCAGGGATGAAGGACTGAAAGTAATAAAGAGAGAAAGGGAGGTTAATGGAGGAGCAGGTAAACAGAAATCTCACCCCTGCTGCAGTCGGGTCCTCTGAAGCCAGGAAAACAGTGGCAGTTTCCGGCCACACAATCTCCATTTCCAAAACAGTTACTAGGACAGTCATCGATAGCGTCTGCAAAACATCATCATAGAACAATGTTTGTCAGTGTCAGAAGGATGCACATTCATCAGTACTTCACTCGCTAGATATATTTTATATTTCCCTAAAGAACGTGGTGTAAAAAGCTCAATTTCCTGGTGTACTGTATATTCTGCTTCAATTTTTAAGGGGTCACATACCAAAAAAATTGAATTTTCCTTGATCTTTCAAAATAAGAGTTTACTATAAAAAAAAAAAAACATACTCTAACTTTCAGAACTGAAAACTATATCCTCAGGCCATTCATTGAAACTAAGCAGGAAAAACAGATCCAAAACAGAGCTGATATCATATAAGTAATATTAAATTACTTTAATTACATATGCTATTTACGTACCTCACTGTATAATACACCTTCTGTTTATACTTTCCTTGCACACTATGTTGTATGTACATTCATTTGCATTGAGCTGGTATCTGCCCCTCCTACCTCATAACTTGCACTATGTGTCATAAAGCTTAATGTATATACACATAATCTATATTTATTTATATACTCTGTTATTTGCACTTCTGGTTAGATGCAAACTGCATTTCATTGGCTCTGTACCTGTACTCTGCACAGTGACAATAAAGTTGAATCTATCTATCTATCTATCTATCTATCTATCTATCTATCTATCTATCTATCTAATTTAAAGCATTGCATCACAACATTAATTGCTTACATGGAGGTCTTAAAGGTGAAGTGTGTCATTTTTTTCATGGTAAAAAAAGTAAAAAAGTAAACACTTTCAAAACACATTCTGACAGAAACTTTGCCTCAACCAATGTGGCAGCTTTGAGGCGGGGCTATACGTTTGACCAACCTTGAGCCACATTGGTTGAGCCAATAGCAGACAGGGGTGTGTTCAGGGAAACGTCAATATATTTGCAATTTTACTTGATAACGCTAGTGGCACAAAAATGCACACGTCAACTTTAAATTCAACTCATATCACAAGAGCAAAAAAAAAGAATAATAAAAAAATTGTGTGCATGCTAGCCTAGCTAGTGGTCTTTTTTTAAAACAAATCAAGTACAAGAAAATGTATACACTTTCCATAAATAAGATAAAATAAAGAGTGGCCCCTTAGCTAGCAGGTCTAAGGTGAAGTGGGACTCAAGTGGAGCCACTTGATGAATTTACTTCAGCCTATAATGAGGAACTCACCATAATTAGTGTAGCTGTTTTTGTGACACAGCACTAACATTTACACTTAACACTTAACAAGCCAATACGAGTGCACGACACATCCAGTGACACGGTTAATGAAAATTCCACATAACAACCTTCTTCAGTGAAGCGTGCTAATTTAAATGCAAGGAATGCCGTCATGTCAATTACAAGATTTCTGATTTCAAGCAGGAGTATAAAAGGGGTTTATTACAGATTGCGGATATATTAGACAGACTCCTGGAGTGAAGAAGTGGTGCTTGATTCTTGGTAAACACATCGCATATTCACACACTGACAGCACTCAAGAAGTATTTAGATATCTATCTTAAATAAGCAATCTAGCGGACTCACAAATTTAAGAATTGGCTTATGAATATTAATTAGTTTGTTCATAAATATGCATAAATGGTCTATATAATATATGGATGCAGTGATTAGGTCTGTAATAGAGTATGTACTGGAAGTCTAAACTGCAACAATTGCATTAGAAAGTGCCAAGAATCATATATTTTTTTTTATCAATTTCAAGTTATTTTTCAACATAAAACTCATTATAGAGTGATTTGCAATCATTCTTGATGACCAATGAAAGCCCTCAAATGAACTTGTGACATGTTATTTGATAACTTCATTCTTACATCTGTCCCGGGATTCTGTAGCTCAGTGGATAAATACATGGATCAACTACCAAATGCTAAGTATGAATCACTTTCCGTGACTGATAACAACTGCAATGGAGGCAAACTTTAAAGCAAACAAATCTGTGCCAGATCGTCACTTGTTATAACACACACAAAGAAAAAAAAATCCCTGCTTGAGAATTGGAACTGCTTCCTCTGTATTAGATATGTAATTCCATAAAGTGGTGGAGACAAATTCGTCAATGGTGAAACTTAAAGGGGTCATATGATGCAATTTCAAGTTTTTCTTTCTCTTTGGAGTGTTACAAGCTGTTCATGCATAGACAAGATCCCTAAAGTTGCAAAGACTAAAGTCTAAAACCCAAAGAGATATTCTTTATAAAAGTTAAGACTCGTCCACGCCCTCCTGAAATGCCGTGTTTAAACACACCCCCACATGTCTACGTCACTGTGTGGAAAGATTTGCATAATGCTGCCCAAATGTTCACGCAAAGAAAGAAGGTGTAACATTGATTCTCCCTGTAGTGTTGCTGCCACCGCTGCCATGTTGTGGAGACGCTGTGTGTTTCGTTATGAAAGCGAAACTACTTTGTTTGGTCTTCCAAAAGAGGACACAACTAGAAATCAATGGTTAAGTTGTATTTACAACACTGTTCCAGAACAGTTCAACCTAAATATTCTAATGTGTGCAGCGCATTTTACGGAGGACTCTTTCCTGAACCTGGGAGAGTAGCCTACAATGCAGTCTGTGCACAAAGGTTGTTTGTATAGTGGGGCAATTCCAACTTTGCAAGGACAGTCTGGCACGTCTGACTCCTTTAAGTATGTTTTCATATTTAAAGAATTTGCCACTGATGATTCAAATGCGAGTTTTGAGCAGTGTAGAGTAGTGCTTGTTTGTCGTTTCTCCGATCACAAATGCAGACATGGTTTTATGTTTATGCAGCGCGATATGCAACGTAACGCGTAAAAAGACAGTATACGTCATTATATCCCCATTGGATGCAACAAATGCCTCGTTTGTAATGGTTTTATTGTTTTGTCTCGTCGCGCCGGGACACGGCATCACAGTATGGTAAGGGGCATAACATTTCTGTCACACACTTGAGGTACACTTGAGATATTTGCCAAATCACAACGCACTGGATAGCTGGCCAATCAGCGTACACCTAGCTTTTCAGAACGATGAGCTTTGTAAAAATGTACGCGTTTCAGAAAGGCGGGGCATAAAGGAGCAACAATAATGCACAGTATGTGGAAAAGAATGTGTTTTTTGAACCTTAAACCTCAAAGATATTGCATTACACCAAATACACAAAATAATGTTTTTTTTTTAGCAATGTCATATGACCCCTGTAAATGACAATATGCAATTAACAAATTTTATGACATGTCAAACTTCGCTTTTTTTATTTAAACATTTTTTTTTATACAGAGGCAAATCCACGCTCAATTCTGTGCAGCTGAAATCAGACACAACCTGAATTAAACATGAAATAACGGTGAAAAATATTCCCTCTCTAAGGCTCCCTGCGAATCGCTGGTGTGCCCGGGGCTGAGATCTCTCTACAAAGATGCTTTTGTGTTGGACAAAGGGCTGGAAATGTGAGCCCGGACACAGCCTTCCCCTTCCTCAAGAGAGTCAATCATCGCAGAGGATGCAACAGACGGGAAGCTGAATGGAGGAAAGGGGGAGAAAAGAAGAAGGGAGGGCGGCTTGTGCTGCAGAGAAGGTTTTTGAAAGAATTTTAAAGGCACAAGTCTCTTGATGTGAGAGGAAAAGGCTGGCAGATTGGCTATCCCCCTGGTACGCACGGGCCTATCAAGACTTCGGTAGGGATTTTTTTTAATGGCTTCCAGCCTCCATTTCTAAGCAGAGGGCACATACAGGTCTCTCAAAAGCCTACAGTGGCTATAAGTGACTGTGCATGTGTAGTACCGTAAGATAAATTAAGCCAATTGTATTTATGTCCACAGAAGCAATTATACATGAGATGGCTTTTTTGCTTCGTTTGTGTCTTGAAAATGCTTAGAGACGCTCTCCTCGTATATATGTAGAGCACAATCTATCTCTAGCTGCATCTCTGTCACTCTTATGTAAAGTATTTCTGACACTACTACTGATCTGAGTTCAGTACTTGCAGTCTACACCCTGCATTTCCCTTCAGGACTGTCATGTATAATTTCATCTCTAAGCAGTGACTGAGAAGTCTGTAACATGTCCTATAAAGTCTCATAGATGTAAGCCTTAAAGTTAAAGTGTATAATTTCCATGTCACTAGTAGCACCAAAAGGAATTTCTACTGGAAATTTCTGCAGGAAAATAACTCATTTTTATTCATGTCTTGCTAGCCTGTTCAAATTCATCGGCATAATGCTGCAGAGTCTGGGTGGTTGCTTATCGGTCCAAGTTAAAAGTATCCACCTTCAAATGTTTATGATATTTTGGTCTCAGCATATGGCTTTGATTCCTCCTTTAAATCTAAGGCCTGGTTTCACAGACAGGGCTTAGACTAAGCCAGGATAAGGCCATAGTTCAATTAGGACATTTAAGTAATTTTTCATAAACGTGCCTTAGAAAACACATTACTGGTGTGCATCTTGAGACAAAACAAAGGCACTGATATATTTTAAGATCAGTCAGTGATCAGCCAAAAACGGGAAACTTTTTATGCGTTTTGCCTGTTCGTTTACACGACAACGGCGTTTTGGGGACTGAAAACGCATATTTTTGAAAACAGGTTTCAAAGTGCAAGTTTTTGAAGAAGCCACCGTTGTCATTTCCGTGTAAACACCCAATACGGGAATCTTTGAAAACGGTGACGTCATGTGCGTGCGTAGTACATGTTAGGTATGTAGACATGCGGAGTATGTGTCGATTTTAAAGGCAAGTGCGAACAAACATACACAACAATGGTGGAGTACATGGTACTGTTGTTGCTGCTCTAGAGTTTGCAAACGCTTCTTCAGCAAAGTGTGAATTTACTTCACCAATATTACAACCAACAGCGGAGACGCATCATATACAACATATAATCGTCACTTCCTTACAGGTACTGTTTACTAACAAGGTGACTGCGCCAACTACTGGCCTGGCATATGTAATACAGCATTTTTGGCCTTTTTCGCAGATATGTGTAAACGCGAATCGTTTTGAAAACGTTGCCGTGTATACGTTAAACTTTTTTTTAAACGCAAGGGAAAAACGTTTCAGTTTTTGACCACATCGTTGTCGTGTAAATGTAGCCTTAGTCTGGGACTAGGCTTAAGCCTTGTCTGTGAAACCGGGGGTAAGTCTATTAGATTTGTCAGCCATTTTCTCACCCATTCGGGTGAAAGCAACAATAAAAGTGAAAATATTATTAAAGACCTGTAAACACCAACACAAATATTCAGCATAGAAATTTGGTCCAATGATTTGGTGACATGATTTGTCTGCTTTAAACCAACGGGAGAAAAAAAGTGCAGGCAGGGTCTGGATGAAAACACAAATCACTTCGTGAAATTTGGTGGCGCTTACGAAAAAGTGCTGCGCAACTTTCAGTTTCTGACACCCGTTCGTCAAGGAGACATAGTATTAACATGTTTTATGTAACAGCATAACTCTGGACATGTGACCAAATGCACAAATCTTACTAGTTGGCCAGTTTTCTTCGCAGTGTGATGGACAATATTATATCTTGCCAAAAATAAATATATGAACAAATAAATCAAATCTGTCACATTGACAGCATGTGAATGTTCGTGTTGGTTTGAACAGACGTATTAAGAGTTGTTCACTCAAATTACATTTTTTATCAATAGTAATGATAACACACACCACCTTTAATCTCTTCTACTGATCTGACATTAATTAGCCTTGTGTGCTCTTGTATAGCACAAGACTACTTTCCTTGGCTTCAATCTGTGATAAATATCTAATATTAGAATTGTTGTTGAAGGCATGTCGGCTTCTCTGAAAGCTGAGGCACCAGAGCAATCAGCAAGGCACAGCTAGAGAAGCTTCCTTGATAACTTTGATAACAGAAGACCACATGGCAGGGACAAATGAGACTGTGTCGCACATGGGGCGGACACCTTAGCTTTGTAATGAGGAGTCATGAGAATTATGGAGAGAATGTAGAGAGGCATAAATAAATAAAAAAACGAGGAAACAAAAATAGACAGTCACAGACAGAGAAAGAGCAAGAACAATAGAGATATTAAACACTTCAGGTCCCTTATGGGCCATGGCATATGTGTACCCAGAGGCAATTTGTATTGCTCAGAGGTTGCACTTATAGCTCCAGAGACTTCATTGAGATGTCAGGTAATGTTTCATTTAAGAATATTTTCGTCTTACCAAAAATTCCAAATAGCACAACCGAGAGAGTTGTTGACATACAGCAAGAATGTGGAACTATAAAATTAATGTGCATTGTATAGTATTATGGCACTTTTCCACTGTGTGGTACGACTCGGCTCGGTACGGCTCAGTAGGGCACGGCACGGTTTGCATTTCCACTGCAGTTCAGTACCGCTTTAGAGTGGGCGGGATTATTCACATGTCGTTATAGTTGTGCCGCCTCTACTACCACGACTCCTAAAAAAAACTTTTTCATTCCGCATCGCCCCATCAAGCTCTCGCTGGTCTGCTCCTCTGCTATCAACGAGAGAAACGTCTGTCCTTCCGCAACACACAACAAAACTTTTTGGTTGTTAAAAAAAAGGTGCGCTTGTTCCAAACAGTTGCATTCGATCCTTCGCTGGCTGTGCTGATTTAAATCTACCGGTTCTTATGTGTTTGTGTCGCAAGTTCAGTGTGTGTGGTAGTGATGATTCTCTCCGGCCAATCCGTGATCAGCAGAGTTTACACGTCACGTTTTGGTAACGGTACGGTTCACTTGGAACCCCAACCGAGGTGGTACTAAAAAAAGTACCAGGTAGCAGGTACTGTACCCAGTGGAAAACCCCCCAAAAGTGAACTGTACCGAGCCATACCGTGCTGTACCATGCAGTGGAAAAGCTCCATTAGTTAATTAGACACAGAAGACTAATGAAATCTTACTTTTGACTGCACAGTTTGAAACTGCCAGGATACATTTTGGAACTCTACAGACGCCACGTGAGATTACTATAGTCTGAGAAGCAGGAGACTTAAACAAAAGTCTCCTTTGCTCTCTATTTAATTTCACTGCAGTCTAACAGAGAGAAACAGAAATATTACAAATATCTAATTTGCTTTTTTCTATGGGTAAAGACGCAAATTTACTTTTATTCACATAAATGCATAAAGGAATATTATGGAGGTGTGCATCATTTGTGACCTATAAAAATTTTTTTTGTTTCCCAAATACTTCCCCCGTGCATGATTGGTCAGACAAACAGAAAGACACCCCACACACCCCAATCTCATGCCATTGGGAGTGATTCAAAGATCAGTTAAGATTGTGTATGCCTTCAATGACTACATGAATTGAGAATGTTGTTTCAATTTGCAAACTGGCATGTCAATGAAGAGGCGCCAAACCGTCTAAGCAATGTAAATTATGATCTTTCCTTATATTGTCCATATCATGGTGATTTGGGCCCTATTTGGACGTTAACTGACTTAAATAGGAACACGAGGTAATTGCAATATTTTTAGAAATAAGAAAAATAAGAAAAAACGATCTTAGAATCAGATGGCAATAAAATCACAGACTTGTGCCTGGTCTGTGAATTTATTGCCGTCTAATTCTAAGATCGTTTTTTTCTTCCACCACCCAAGACAAAATCCCCATATGAATTACCTACTGTTTTTTGACAAACACAAGGATTGTGTGGCAATTTCATTTCTGTCTGGAGTTTACGAGGAAATTATTATGAAAATCTTTCCAGAGGATTACTGTTTGACAGCTTGCATGGTAATAAGAAATTAAATGACACTGTCGTCCCATCCCAGTGAATGGGAATGGAAAAAAAAGAAAGAAAAAAAAGTCAAGAGATTAGATATCGTTACATTTGCCATTATAATGGCAGGTTATGCATAACATTGGATTTCAGCAGCCAAGATGGAATGTGTTATGTACCCGACCATGTGTGAACCAGACTTCCATGTTCATCAGAAAACATGGCTGTTATCACTCAGGCCCTGTGCAAATGCTCTTTTACATATGTCACCTGAGAAGCAATTTCCATTTGCACATTTAAAGTTACACCTGTTGTGTTATTTAAAGCAAAGTTTCCAATGGTATTTTTGTCATTTAATATTGTACTAACCAATCGCAGTTGTGAGAAAGGACACCTGCTCTGTCTCCTTCCCATCATTGTACACAGCCAAGTGCCAGATGCCCGAGTCCATATACTGTATAAAGCCCGTATCGTGACTGGTGAGTGGCATCAGGCTCCTCTGCTGGGCTGGAAAAGGTGGACCCTCAAGACCTGGCAACCCATGCGACAGGAGCCGACGGCCATCCAACAGCTCCACAAAGTCAAACTGGAGACAAGGAGAGACAGACAGACCACAAACAAGCATTAGGAATGACACATGAGCCTCCAGGAGCTGATAAGTCTTGCACGTTGGAGCCAACAAGAGCTGGTCTCTAAGGGCAGATTGAGACTGCGAAAAGGGGACTAATGCAAGATGTGAAAGGACAGCTGCTAACACTGTACCAATTTATGCTAATATATGTACAATTTTGGATTTTCACACCTCAAACCCGAATGGGTTATCGGTCACATCCTAAACAAGTATTTTTTGTACTGCCTTTCATTTGTGTTAATTTTATCATCATTATTTATATTTAGGAGTAAATATTATGCCATTACAAAATATTACAAACATTTAATATACAAACCCAATTCCAAAAAAGTTGGGACACTGTACA